TGTTCGGATTCCCTGAATATGAAGAAAGGAACAAGTTGGACACTTTGCCATTTCTGCCATTCACCATGGTTTGTTCTTGGTTCCATGGTTTTGTTGTTGATGCTTTGTTAGCATCTTGTTGGAGTCCATCATGCTCCAATGCGTGCGTCTCTTTTGAGGGTACCCTTTTCGGGTATGAAGGGAATCCAAGAGGACAGCCACCACTTGGAGGTCCAAATCCCCGTCTTCGCGCCCTCGCGCTACATTTCCGCTTTTGGTGGCTGGAACATCGCTTGTTGTGTCATTTCGTGTTTTTGTTGGCAGGGCAACAATTCAAGGGAAGAGATATGATATGCTTGTCTCTTTTGAGGGTACCTGTTTTTTGTGGTCCATTTTGGAAGCTCCCTTTGAGACACCAACCCATTTGGGGTGTCTCTTTAGGGAGATCCCCTAAAGTTGTTTTTTGTTCTGTGGTTTCCCTTTAAAACCGCCAAACATGGGGTTCCCTCAAAAAAACACGCCCATTTGGGCCCCCTTTTCCCGGCGCAGACGGTCTGCAGGATGGCTCCCTGGCGGGCACCCCCTTTGCGGGCGGCGGTGCTTTCGCTTGGCGCCTCAGCCTCCGCTTCCTGCTGTCTCACATGGCTTTCCGATGGTCCATCCCAAGAAGGAAACAAAGCAACAGCTTGCTGGTCGCGGCTGGTGCGATAGCCAGGGAACGAGAATTGGAATGACCCCTGTAAACTCATCCCTTGTGGTTTCCTTCAAGGGGATTCCCTACAGGGCACCAGCGAGACAAACGGTGTGAGTCTTGTAGATGTTCCAGAGCCCCCTTTCCAGAGCCTCCCTTTGGCGCCCATCTTGCACAGGTTTTGGCCTGTCATGAAGGTTTCTCGGGGGTCCCTTTTTTCAGCCTCAAAGACTTGGTTGCCTGGGTTCACGACATGGGTATGGCTCAAAAGGGCACGCTCTTTTGGATGATGTTTAGGCAGAAATTAAAATAACCCCAAGGGCTTTGAGAGGTCCCCTATTTTGAGACACATGTGGGGACACGACTTCCCTTTACAAAGGTTGGGAAAACAAGTGGTGTCTGTTGCTCTTTCAACAAACATGGTCCCATGGTTTAAATTAACTTCCCGCTTTCCAACAAGCATGGAAGTGAACGCGCGGTCCTAAGAGAACTGACTTCCAAGCCCCTGTCAACTTCAAGGAAGGTTAATCAAAGAGCTCTTAACGAGGGACGCCGGAATGGGATTGGATTTCAGGCAGACAAACGGCAGAAACAAAAGGGCCTGAACCAGATGTGCCGAGAGGTTGCCCGGCAAGGCACCCTGTTTGCGAGATCCCTGAGGATAGTGTTGCAGCATCCGTCAGGGCGCTTTGTGGAAACCTGCAAAAGTGGCGATCGTTGGGAAGCCACCCCCTGGTTCCACTCCTTGAAGCCAGGTGAGCCTTCACGCACCGACAAAGCTCCAGTGCAAAAGCGCCCATTTTTGAACGGGCTGCCCACTAAGACCCACACCCAAATATGCAACATGCGCGGCTGTCCTGACATTGCAAGCCAGATATGATTGATGATTTAGTGAACCCAAAATGAAGGTCGCCGTTATCAATGTTGGTGTTCGGCTAGCTCCACACTCGTAAATTCGCGTGGCTTTCTGTGTGCCCACACGAGAAGCTGATCCTAGGACGTCCCATAAGGTGGTTTTGTCTCACCCCAGAAAGGGGGTTCGCTTTCCCTTTGGATTCCCTTTGGTTTCTACTTGGTTTCCCTTTGGGAAATTCCCACTAGTTCAACCTCAGAGGCAAACAAAAGGAGGTGGTTGAAGCAATAGGTGTTTTAACTTGTTGCAACACAGCCCTGTGAGGCCACTGGCGCTTCGCCCTTTGGCGGGCCGGGAACCTTCAATGCTGAATCGGGATCTAAGGATCCCTGTGAGGTGGGACGAAGACTGGGTCCCAAAAGGTAAAAGGTTTTCCAAACGTCAGGGAAGCGGACAGAGTGGCTGCCTCAAGAGGACGGCCGCCTTGCAAAACCCACCCGTGCATAGTACACATAAAGTATGTGTATATACATATATATATATATTGTGTCCCTATCGCTATATGTATGTAGATCTATTCATATGTAGGCCTTTATAGTTGGGTTTCAAGGCCCAGTGTTTTGGACTGAAAACGACCGAATCTGGGAAACAGCCAGACACGAGCTTTGCCAAGACCTCCGACGGAAGGGTCCCTGGGTGTGGTTGAGGCTGGGCACCAGTTTTGGGGTCAAAGGAAACTGTTTCAGTCAAGGGTGCTCCATGTACCTACCAGCTGGCATTGCCTCGAAAAGGAAGTTGGTCTACCAGATCAGACAGGGGAAGCCCTCCATGTTCCTTTTTGGAACTTCCAAACGTGGCGATCGATCAGTAGAAACCACCTAGTAAATCGCAACTTCTGGAGGCGAATTAGATTTGGAGGGGTGTTTCTCAAATAAGACCCTCCCCCCCGCTTCCCCGAGCATGCTTGGTTTGCTTTGGTTTCCCTTTGCCAACCAAAAGGGGGTTCCACCATTTGAGAAACTCTCAGAGGCACTCTGGCGGAGAACCCCAAGGTAGCCCCGCTTTCGCAGGGTTCCCTAAATTTATTTTCCATCATCACCTCTTGGGCCCACTTAGGGTGAGTTTTTGTTTGGTAGAGGTGAACTTTTAAGGGAAACATAGAACCTGTGCTACAGCAGGCTTGCTCGAGCCGTAAATCACTACATAGATACAGGTTTCGTTGGGTTTCCCTTCACCAGTGACCACATTGTTCGGGGCCAGAACCCTGAGTGGTTGTCGGTCCAACAGCAACGCAACATGTATACCCCATTTTACACCAGGGAAAAATCATGTGACTCCGAGTTTCTGCTCTACCGTATCTACATGTACAGACCCTTACGCCCCAAATGCGCTTTACCTTTTAATTTCGGATGGCACCTTTGGTTTTTTGGGAGTGCATGGAGCTTTCAAGGGCACGCCGTGATTCGCCCTGTGAGTGGTGTGGTGAATTCCCTAGAAACTGCAAGTAAACTCACCACCTCCAGGCACAAAACCCTGATACATCATTCAGAGTTCCCCTTGTTCATCTAACACAAGGGCCGAATTACAGTTAGGTACACTGTCAAAGCATACGCCATGATCATCAAAGAGTGATACTTGTGATTATGTCGCACCTTGCATGACTGCCTTGGGGTTGTCAAGGCCCCCCAAAAGCGCGCCCCCCCTCCCCCCCCCCCCCACGCCAAAGAGCCCTTCCTTGGGGATTCTGCCATTGGGAGATCGGGAGTAGCAATCAGCTAGCGCATGAGCCCTTGAAACCTCCAAGCGCGTACAAACTGTGCACATTGGTTACGCGGTTATCCAAGCTGGTGCCTCTACAGTGAGTAGCTCCAAGCTGGTATATCCAAACTGCCCCAAACTGGATTTTCTCCACTGAATGCAATGCATGGACACAATCCAATATCCAAACTGGGTGACAATGTGCACAGTCAGCAGACATTGTGGAACCATTGGAGCTGCAAAGGCCGACAGCCGGCGCCTCGCCCTTCCAGGCGCACGGGAAGCGACATTTCTTCCACAATAGTTTTAGGTAGCATGCGGCATGGTTTCATTTGGGGTCTCTAAATTCCATGTTGTATTTCAGGGTAGACTTTTCATATGAAGCATGATCTGAACAGATTTTCTGCGTGGTACGGTACTATCTGTTTCTTGGGTAGGTGTTGCATAAACCTGTACAACCATCTTGGAGTCCAAAGTCACTGAGCTTTGGACAAAATTTGCCATACCGAGAGGAAACTGCAATCACTCATGGGGCTGTTAACCCCTGATTCGTAGTGCCCGGCTATTCATCAGGGGGATTTGCCTGGAAGAATGGAATCCCCACTGATCAGGGATCCTGAAGAATAAGGGGAGTGTTATATCAGGTGTCCACATTTGTTTGCTTGAAAGGGTCTTCCCCCAAACAGCCTTTGTTTCTACCGCTTCCCTGATCCGCGACAGGGGTGACAAGGGTGAATTGTAGCCACTTCGCGCTACCGCCTCGGCCATATTTTTTGGTTGGCTTTGAAGTACCGTGTTGCCTTTAAGTGTTGTGTTTTGTTGAGTGAGTTGGTCGGCACCGAAGTGCGTGAGCTGGTTTCCAAGATATATGGTGGGTGCATGTTGGCGCGTTTCCACCTGGGGCGCCAAGTCCATAGCCTCCGCCCCGCTTTTTTTAGCAGAGGCCAGGCCAGCCGCTCAGCGCCCAGCCGGTTGTGGACACCTGAGCCGGTCATTTGGGCCGCAGCGAGCTGGGCCGACCCAGCCACTCAGCCCAAGCCAGCCCGGCCGCAAAGGAGATCCCGATGATCTCAAGAAGGATCTGGCCGCTTCAGGGGCTTGCTTCAGAGGGGCTGGAGGTTTGGGCTGCGCGACATGAGAAGATTCGAATTCCAATTCAGAGAGCAATGAGGAACTTTGGCCCTTCTCTGTCAGCGGGCATCCTTGTGCTTCGCCTTTTGTTTGCGCTGTTTCAACGTCACCTTTTGGATACCTTCTTCATTTGACCTCTGCTTCTCTTTAGCGGGCTCAAAGAGGACCAGGAACCCTGCAAGTTGTTTGCGATACCGAAAACAAGAGCAACTTTTTGTGATAAGTTGGGTATGGTGCTCGCTTGGCATACCACATTGGGTTTGGGGCAAGTGGCAAGTGGCCTCATCAACGCAGAGTTGTCAAGAGGCCCTTGCTTGGCCTCACGCCAGGGGGAATCAGATGGCGCAATTCCCTTCATATGACGATTTTGGCGAGCGACCGACATGGGGAAGGGGGTTGACCAGATGTCCCAACTGCAAGACGCGTCCTTTTCGGGCGCTTCCCCCCAATGTGTCAATGCGGGGAAATGTGCAATGTATCACCCTACAACGGAAGATAGGGCAAAAGGGGCCCCCCAAAAGGAGATTCCTCTACAAACGGCTGCTTTCTGGGTTCCGTGTTGTTTGTAGGGGAGTTATCGGGTTTCAGATGAGACGGTCGCCGCTGCTCGCGGCAAGCGCTGCCAGGCACCAGGCGGCAGTGCAGGAGATGCCGAGTATGGTCGGGTTTGCTCACATTTTAACGATGAAGGTTGTTTTTTAGCTAATTTCTCGTGGAGTCCTTGCTGCCGGCTCGCAAATTGCATAAAATTGTCCAGATGGGTTTTGGCTAGACTCACTCCCTTGTCGGGTTGTTTTCTGCCTCAAATGGCTGAAGCGCCCAAACGGATCTCCTTTCAATCATGATCCCAGCTTGAGTTCATTTAGAGACAGTGAGACTGGGCTAGGATGCCACAGAGGGTCCTTGCGCGTCCCTCTTGAGGTAGCTTAATTATCACCTTTTGGTTGGTAATCATAATGCAGCTTTGCCTTGATGAGTCCTACACGGAACTCTGCGCAGCGTGTTCATCTTTGGCAGGAGCTTCCTTATTTGGCTCGGCCAGGCTCTTGGGCTGCCACCAAAATTGCTCGGTACAGGCGTCGCTCAAGGTCAGGTTCGTTGCGGTGGACTTGGCCATGCTGGACGCTAACTTTAGTCAGGGGAGACACCAGACTGTTCACAGTGTTGAATCTGAGGCATCGGGATCTACGGCATCGCCCTTCGGCGGTGGGTCAGGGTCCAGGTTAAGTCTTCAAGCGACAGACGCTGAGTTGAGGCGTTTGATTGGGCCAACTGCGGCGCCAACCGCTCAGGACCGGATCAAGCGGCCCCTTTGGTGGCTCTAGCGGCTCTAGCGCATCACCATTCCAGGCGCGGTTTCGAAGCCTGGCTCTTAGATTCTGGGTGTTTTCTGCTGACATGGACAGGCATCGGCCCCATCCAGCTCTGGCAGCGCAGGAGAGATGCGTGTAGGCTCATGCTTGGCAGAGGGTTTGAGCGAGGCTGCTCATGAAGGCTCTGCATCATACAAGTTTCGGACCATATTTGGATACAATGCAGCTGCTTGTTCATGCCAACAGCATACTCAAAGCTGATGTCTTTGCAGGAGGATCTTTGTTTGGCTCAGCTGTCGGCTTCCTGGATGCTGTTGAAAGAGATTGCGTTCAGGTGGCAAGGGTCGAGCTTCTTTTTCCATTGCGTCCGGATTCACGTGGGTTTCTAATTGTTTTTCCCTCTGGCACAAGGCTAGAGAAGAAACATGTGAAAAGCGAGACCGTCCGCTGTGTTGACTCCGAGGCATCGGGATCTACGGCATCGCCCTTCGGCGGTGGGTCAGGGTCCAGGTTAAGTCTTCAAGCGACAGACGCTGAGTTGAGGCGTTTGATTGGGCCAACTGCGGCGCCAACCGCTCAGGACCGGATCAAGCGGCCCCTTTGGTGGCTCTAGCGGCTCTAGCGCATCACCATTCCAGGCGCGGTTTCGAAGCCTGGCTCTTAGATTCTGGGTGTTTTCTGCTGACATGGACAGGCATCGGCCCCATCCAGCTCTGGCAGCGCAGGAGAGATGCGTGTAGGCTCATGCTTGGCAGAGGGTTTGAGCGAGGCTGCTCATGAAGGCTCTGCATCATACAAGTTTCGGACCATATTTGGATACAATGCAGCTGCTTGTTCATGCCAACAGCATACTCAAAGCTGATGTCTTTGCAGGAGGATCTTTGTTTGGCTCAGCTGCCGGCTTCCTGGATGCTGTTGAAAGAGATTGCGTTCAGGTGGCAAGGGTCGAGCTTCTGTTTCCATTGCGTCCGGATTCACGTGGGTTTCTAATTGTTTTTCCCTCTGGCACAGGGCTAGAGAAGAAACATGTGAAAAGCGAGACCGTCCGCTGTGTTGACTCCGAGGCATCGGGATCTACGGCATCGCCCTTCGGCGGTGGGTCAGGGTCCAGGTTAAGTCTTCAAGCGACAGACGCTGAGTTGAGGCGTTTGATTGGGCCAACTGCGGCGCCAACCGCTCAGGACCGGATCAAGCGGCCCCTTTGGTGGCTCTAGCGGCTCTAGCGCATCACCATTCCAGGCGCGGTTTTGAAGCCTGGCTCTTAGATTCTGGGTGTTTTCTGCTGACATGGACAGGCATCGGCCCCATCCAGCTCTGGCAGCGCAGGAGAGATGCGTGTAGGCTCATGCTTGGCAGAGGGTTTGAGCGAGGCTGCTCATGAAGGCTCTGCATCATACAAGTTTCGGACCATATTTGGATACAATGCAGCTGCTTGTTCATGCCAACAGCATACTCAAAGCTGATGTCTTTGCAGGAGGATCTTTGTTTGGCTCAGCTGCCGGCTTCCTGGATGCTGTTGAAAGAGATTGCGTTCAGGTGGCAAGGGTCGAGCTTCTTTTTCCATTGCGTCCGGATTCACGTGGGTTTCTAATTGTTTTTCCCTCTGGCACAGGGCTAGAGAAGAAACATGTGAAAAGCGAGACCGTCCGCTGTGTTGACTCCGAGGCATCGGGATCTACGGCATCGCCCTTCGGCGGTGGGTCAGGGTCCAGGTTAAGTCTTCAAGCGACAGACGCTGAGTTGAGGCGTTTGATTGGGCCAACTGCGGCGCCAACCGCTCAGGACCGGATCAAGCGGCCCCTTTGGTGGCTCTAGCGGCTCTAGCGCATCACCATTCCAGGCGCGGTTTCGAAGCCTGGCTCTTAGATTCTGGGTGTTTTCTGCTGACATGGACAGGCATCGGCCCCATCCAGCTCTGGCAGCGCAGGAGCGAGGGTCTATGGGCTGTTTGTTTGCATGTTTGGTTTTGGTAGGGAGCATAGTAAATGTGTCACGAAGGTATGCTCACGGCTGCAGGAACGAGCACATATTTGCCATGGCCCAGAAACGCCCATACGTTTTCCCGACTAGGGAAAGCACATAAGAACACATGAGATAAACATCAGGTGAGTTGTGCCCAAAGCGCGCTAGTGGCCATTTTGAAGGTGGTGCTACTTGGCTTAATGGGATTTTAGTGAGGCCTACATCAACCTCGGTAGAACCAAAGCCAACGGCGAACCAAGGGATGTCTTTGCATGGCTTCTCTCAAGGGTGTGACCAAATCCCCTGGTTTGGCCATTTTCCATACCTAATACTGTAATGGGAACCACGGATGAACAATCCCCTGGTTGATTTATTCATAGGTGGGTTCCCTTTTAGTGGTGCTTCACTTTTGGAGGGAACCTCTCCTTACAGGTTTCATCCGGGCTCAAAGGCTTACTCCCTGAGTTCCTGTTTCAACTATTTGGGTTTGGACCATTTTAGTAGGGGTAAACAAAAAGTGTTGGTACTTTTTGGGCAAATCCACTCGATCGGAGGTGAGAAGGTGATGAAGTGATCTGGCCATGGCCTGGCAGGAGCCCAGGGCCTCAACGCCGCAGCCGCGGTGTCGAAGGCCGCTCTCGATGCCTGGAGGGGGAGTTGGGGATACCCCCAAAATCGAACCTGTAATTTCTTGTTTTTCTATTGACAAACGCATTCCTAACCTCTGTGTTTGGAGACTGACCTTGGTGTTTGTGTGTGCGTGAGTGTTTGTGTTTTGTGTTTGCGTGTCTTTGTGTTTGTCTCTGTGTGGCTCTGTGATGCTCTGTGTGTATTTGTATTTGCATATGTGTGGAAAGGGGGCTCTTAAGGCCCCTGTTTCAAACAAGTCACGAGGTTTGCACTTGAATCGCCGTCTTGCAAGGCAGCTCCTGGATCTGGAGTAGGCGCAGGCGGTTCTTGCGTTCGGGTATGGCTTCGTCTCAAAGAGATGAGTTCGTGTTGGCACATGTTCTATCTTGAAAGTCACAAAGTCGCAAGGATACTGTACCCTGTATTTCCTGGTTTTCCCGCAACGCTTGAGGATATGAGGTTCGTTCACATTTCAGTAGTCCATGGTCCATTTGACTCGCTACCAAGTTCCACAACACCACAGGGCCTCCCCCATTTTTTGTGGGGACACAAGTAACTTTGATCCAAAATGGGCTTCGGGTCAAGGTGCGTGGCTTCCCTGAAGGCGACCACCCGATTTTTTACCCAGGGACTGAGGGATGCTTAGGCGGAAGGCAGCAGGAAAACCAGTCGATGGGTCGGGTCCCCAGTAGAGCGCAAGACATGATTGCATGATGGTTGTTGTCTGTCGCATGGAGAGGTTCCAAAACCAACCGACTTGCACATGGCGGCCGATAGGGGTGCTTCTCAAAATAAAGAATCCTTTAAGCTAAGGGCCCAAGCATCTTCTGCGAAGTTTTGACCCCTTGCCCCTCAAACAACATCCTGAAAATTGCAAAGGCACTTGGACCCTCCGGGTTGTGAGAACCCCCCCCCCCCTCTCAAAACAACACAACACCAAACAAACAACGACCTGAGGACCCCCCCCCCCCTCCACCCCTCCAAACAAAAAGACAGAATAAAGCATGTGAAAAACGACCTGCGCAGGCGGCTCCTTGTTTGGTTCCGGTGGGACCGTCTTTGGAGCCGGACCTGCTGAGGCCTCAGCCTTGCGCTTTTTGCTCTCTGCCTGGGCACTTTTGGGCAGACCAGTTTGTCGTAGAAGAAAAGTTCTCGAAAAACCATTTTGGAGAAACCATGTTGGAAAAAACATTCTGTGGTTCGGACTTTTCTGGCCAACTCAGGAAGTGTGTCCACATCTACTTGGACTGTTTGGATTTCGTTTTGTCCAGCTTGATTGTATACAGCATGAAAGTGCCCACGGGGACTAGACAGCGGTGACTAGCAATCTTGACTGGTTTGAACACAATGAGTAAGTCGCCCGGAGTACTGCTGGAAGCTATGTACATTTCAAGGCGTACAAAAGTGTAAGGATCCTTAACCGTTTCGTGACGGGCTGCGACGCTGCTGCATATTTTACAAGCCATGCCTCACTTGCGATGCTTACGCCGAGGCATCATCTGGCTCTGCGGCCAGCACAGGAAGCACAGGAGCACCGAATTCCTTGCTGGAGTCACGAAAACGTTCTGACGACTTGTGACCAAATGAGCATTGTTTGCATGATTTTGAGATGGCGTCATTGCCTAGCAAAGGAGTGTTCCAATCCCGAGTGCTGGTTTGGACATGTTCAGCTACATTGTACGTGTGGTGAGTGCAGGAGGCGGCTCCCTGTTCGGCGCGAGCAGCGGTGGGTCCCTGTTCGGTGCCCGACCCTTAGAGGCCTCAGCAAAATTGCCAATGGTTTTCTTTTCTGAATTGAAGTGTTCGAAGCAAAGACTAAAACAAGTGTGTGTGTGTGTGGGCAACAGCAGGCAACGTGGGGCGAGACATTCCGATGAGCACCGCTGTGACTCCCGCTCGCTCCTTTTCTAAAATCAAGCTGATGAACTGATTTCCTGTTCCCAGCTACACTTGTTCCAAGCAGCATGACGCTGACGCGTGATATGTACGACATGCCTCACTTGCGATGCTTACGCCGAGGCATCATCTGGCTCTGCGGCCAGCACAGGAAGCACAGGAGCACCGAATTCCTTGCTGGAGTCACGAAAACGTTCTGACGACTTGTGACCAAATGAGCATTGTTTGCATGATTTTGAGATGGCGTCATTGCCTAGCAAAGGAGTGTTCCAGTCCCGAGTGCTGGTTTGGGACATGTTCAACTACATTGTACGTGTGGTGAGTGCAGGAGGCGGCTCCCTGTTCGGCGCGAGCAGCGGTGGGTCCCTGTTCGGCGTCCGACCCTTAGAGGCCTCAGCAAAATTGCCAATGGTTTTCTTTTCTGAATTGAAGTGTTCGAAGCAAAGACTAAAACAAGTGTGTGTGTGTGTGTCGGAAACAGCAGGCAACGTGGGGCGAGACATTCCGATGAGCACCGCTGTGACTCCCGCTCGCTCCTTTTCTAAAATCAAGCTGATGAACTGATTTCCTGTTCCCAGTTACAGTTGTTCCAGGCAGCATGACGCTGACGCGTGATATGTACGACATGGCTCACTTGCGATGCTTACGCCGAGGCATCATCTGGCTCCGCGGCCAGCACGGGGAGCACAGGAGTGGTTGCCCGCACTGGGACCGGGAAAGAAGTTCATGGACAGTTCCCATGAGCATTGTTTGTGCGATTCTTACATGGGGTCGTCGCCTAGCAAACCGAGTGTTTCAATCCGGATCGCACATTGTACGTGTTGTGAGTGCAGGAGGCGGCTTTCTGTTCGGCGCGAGCAGTGGTGGGTCCCTGTTCGGCACCGGGCCGGCAAAGGACTCAGCAAGATTTGCCACGGATTTTCTGGCTGCATTGACGTGGTCGAAGCATTTTCTAAGAAGCATTTCTGAAACGGCAAGTAAGTTGCTGACAGTTGGGCACGGAATTCGGATGAGAACTGATCTTACGCTTTGACTTGCATGTCTTTTGGCAATACAAGCTGTGCTAGCGTTTCTTGCGGACATTGCACATGAAGAGAAGTGTTGCTGCTTTCAGTTGCTCCGTGACAGACACTGACGCATGATTTGCATGGCAAGCCTGACTTGTGATGCCTCTGACGCAGAGGCGTCATCTGGCTCTGCTACCATCGCAGGGAGCACAGGAGCCGTTGCATGTGCGTGAAGCCTTGCCCGGCCATGAAAAGGTTAAATGTCAATGCGCATCTGATGACTACATTGTCTGCATCAATCCGAGAGGGATCGCCGCCTAGCAAACGTGCGCGCCAACCCTGACCACTGGTTTGGAGATAGGTCGGCCACGTCGCGCGTGTGGCGAGCGCAGGAGGCGGCTCTCTCTTTGGAGCGAGCAGCGGTGGGTCCCTGTTCGGGACCGGACCTGCAGAGGCCTTAGCAAAGTTGCCTGCGCATTTGCTGACCGAGTTGAAGTGTTCGACGAAACAACTAAGACACGTGTGCGAAAAATGGCGCGCAAGTTGGTGGCAGTTTGGCAAGAAGCGCGGATAAGCACTGGTCTTTCAGTATGACTTGCACTTCTTTGGTCTATTGAAGCTGTTCTACTTTGGATTGTTCAATATCCTACGTAGTCAACTGCTGGTCAACTGCTGGTTGACCGCATGGATGAGGCCAATCACCCAAGAACAAAACTGTAAAAACGTTCAGAAACCGCTTTTTTCTTCCCAGTTGTTCTGGGACCGGATCGCTGGCGCGATGATTAGCAAGACATGCCTGACGTGTGATGCTTCTGGTGCTGAGGCATCATCTGGCTCTGCGGCCAGCACAGGAAGCACAGGAGTGGTTGCCACGCATGACACCGAATTCCTTGCTGGAGCCACGAAAACGTTCCTGAGCTGATGACTAAAGACCAATGAGCAGTGTTTGTGCGATTCCAAGATGGGTTCGTTGCCTAGCAAACGAGTGTTTCAAACCCGAGCACTGGTTTGGATATGTTTTCCAGCCACATTGCCCTTATGACAAGTGCAGGGAACAGCTCTCTCTTCGGCGCGAGCAGTGGTGGGTCCCTGTTTGGCGCCCGACCCTCGGAGGCCTCAGCAAAATTGCCAACGGTTTTCGCAACTTTATTGAACTGTTCGAAGCAGAGACTAAAACGAGTGTTTGCGAAACAGCAAGTAGGCTGCTGAAAGTTCGGCAAGACATGGCAAGACATTCGGAGGTCGATATTTTGCCGTGCCTTCCAAAATATGTTGTCAAATCAAGCTGTCTTGCTTTTACTTTCGGGCATTCTTACAGATCAGTCAACCGGTTTCCTGGTGCCAGTTGTTCCGGAACATGGCGCTGACGCATGATCAGTGTGACATGCCTCACTTGCGATGCTTCTTGCGCCGAGGCATCATCTAGCTCTGCGGCCAGCACGGGGAGCGCAGGAGTGGTTGCCACGAATGATACCGAATTCCTTGCTGGGGCCAGGCAAGTCCTAGTGGTTTCCCGAGCTGATGACGAATGACCAATGAGCATTGCTTGTGCAATTCTAAGATCGGGTCGTCGCTTCCAAAATGGAGCGCTGGTTTGGACATGTTTAGCCACATTGTACGTGTGCTGAGTGCAGGAGGCGGCTCCCTGTTCGGCGCGAGCAGTGGTGGGTCCCTGTTCGCCGCCGGACCCTCAGAGGCCTCAGCAACATTGCCTGCGGATTCCTGACTGAATTGAAGTGTTCCAAGAAGACTTTTAAGACGATTGTGTGCGATAGCGCACGCACTGACAGATGGGCAATAAAGTTGGATGAGTGCTGTCCCATGGATCAGCTGGTCTTTTTTTTAACTGTTCCCTGTGACACGTCGCTGGCACATTTTTCATGTGATGCCTAAGCTGTGCTAAAAGTGCCTTCTTTGCACATGTCTTGCTTTCTCTACAACGGCACTGACATGAACAGCGGATTTGTTTAGTCAGGGCATCTCAAGTTTGTGCTGCTGCCTTTGGCATCTGCACTTTTGTAACATGGCTGAACGCAAGCCGTGTGCGCAGCTTGATGAAAAGCGAGTAGCTGGAAATGTGAGCAGCTGATATTGCGCGGCTGCTTATGACGGGGACACTCCCACGAAGGCGGACATACCATACCCTGAACCAAGGCGAATTTCCCAGAACTAAGTCAGAAGCTGCCTGAGACTCCCAGCGAGGCTAGCAAAGGCCAGTTCAACTAGCAAGTAGCTTCCTGAGAAATGTACGCATATGTGACACGAGCATACCCCTGTGGCATTTGCGGTTGCTATACAACCAGACCAAGGCAAAGTTTTAGAGGAAACAGGGTCTTGCAAGCAACAAGGTGGTGTGAGGATGCTTGAAACAAGCTTTGTTTCGTAGAAAGTGACTCTTTTGAGTGTGAATTGGAGCCAGGTGTTTGCTTATTTTTTGGCATGGTTCTTTGCGCCAGGTTGTGACATTCCTGACTTTTGATGCTTACGCCGAGGCGTCATCTGGCTCTGCAGCCAGCGCAGGGAGTGCAGGAGCGGTTGCCTGCGTGTGGCCACATTTGCACGTGTGGCCAGCGCAGGAGGTGGCTCCTTGTTCGGCGCCAGCAGTGGTGGGTCCCTGTTTGGAACCGGACCTGCAGAGGCCCTAGCAAAGTTGCGTGTGTGTTCGAACCTCAACAACTGTGTGACTACAACACGCAAGTCGTTCAAATGATCATACACAGTGACTTGTGCTTCTTTTGATACCTTTTGCAAGCCAAACTCGGAGCTCAGCTGTGATACTTTTGCTTGCGGACATGCACATCGCCAACAGATTTGCTGATGTAGGGCCAATGATTAGGGCCCCCTCTCCAGTTAATTGTCTCGTGACATGTCGTGCGACTGCCTGCCGCGTAATTGACATGCCTGACTTGTGATGCTGAGGCGTCATCTGGCTCTGCATCCAACACAGGGAGCACAGGAACGGTTGCCTGCGCATGTCCCGTTTGATGACTGGATGAGCATCATTTGTGTGAATCTGAAAAGGGGTCATCCCAGCCAAACAAATTCGAATGTTCCAACCCCGCTGGCGTCCTGTGTGGCGAGCGCAGGAGGCGGCTCTCTGTTCAGCGCAAGCAGCGGTGGGTCTTTGTTTGGTGTCAGCGCGGCAGAGGCCTCTGCAGGATTCGCTGCGGAGTTCTTGACTCACTTCACATCTTCGAACCAGTGGCTAAAACAATTGCGTGCACAACGGCACTCAAGTTGTTCGGATGTTAGGCAAGACAAATAGAATCAATCTTATGTGTACTGAGTACTGATGTGACTTGCCCTGTTTTTGGCAAGCAAGTTTACCAATCGCTTTGTGAAATGGCGTTATGCCGTGGCAGAGTTTGCTGATTTGCGTGCCATGCTTGACTTGTTGTGCCGAGGCTTCATCTGGTTCCGCCGCCAGTGCAGGGAGCGCAGGAGCGGTTACGCCTCATTCCTTGCGAGAGCCAGATAAACTGGTTGAATGTCGATGCCCCGTCTGATACCCCGGCCGCTGGCATGAACATGGTGAGCCACATTCCACGTGCGGCGAGCGCAGGAGGCAGCTCTCTGTTCGGCGCAAGCAGTGGTGTGTCTTTGTTTGGCACCGGATCGGCAGAGGCCTCGGCGAGATTCCATGTTAAGTTCTTACTGCTTCAATTTACATGTTCGAGCCGGTGACTAAGACAAATAGTGTGCGGGACTGCGCACAAGTTGCGGGAAGTTGGGCAAGAAGCTGTAAAGTACTGATCTTTCAGCGTGACTAGCACTTCACCCTTGGGGAAAGCAAGCCTACGCCGGCTTTGTGTTGCCAATCGTTCCATCACGACATGTTAGGGCGATGCCGCATGAATTGCGTGACATGGCTGATTTATGCTGCCGAGGCATCACTTGGCTCTGCCAGCACAGGGAGCACAGGAGAGTCGACAAGATATCCCCCAGCGCGTGTGTCTATGTAGGGCATGAATCCACTCCTGGCGTGGCTGCAATGAGGTGCGAACGCCCAAAACAGTCCTACAGCACGCAGCTTCCAGCTTGCACAATGTGATATCCATTAAGCTTTTCGGATTTCCTCCGGTTACATGGCTTGCCGAAATGATGTTTTAATAGAGCCGCACTGCTGATGCCCATTCAGTGAGTGCAGTAATCAACATTTGTTGGAATGATCTGCCCAAACCTGAAAGGTCGGTGCCAACGATCATTTCACCATTTAAAAAAAACGGCTGCTGGCGTAAGCATGGTTGGTGGCATTTTCTGACGTGTGATGGCCATCGCAGGAGCCAGCTCTTTGTTCGGGGCCAGCAGTGGCGGATCCTTGTTCGGCTCCGCAGAGGCCTCGGCGGACTTGCATGCTGTGCTTCCCGACCCGACAGCGACATGTTTCACTGTGCTTGCCACTGATGGTGGTGCTCGGCGGAACTCGGACCAGTTTTGCATTTGGAGGTGCGACTTGCGCCGGTTGCGCGATGTGCTTGTTGATATACCCATTTGCAGCAATGGAAGTGGACAAAAAGCTTCCGAAAATACCTCCTAATTTTCAGCTTCCATGCTTGTCAGGCGGAGGGTAAGCAACAGCTCGGCGACAAACGGTTTTCTGCGATGCTGAGCCCGAGGCATCGTCTGGCTCGGCAAGCGCAGGAAGCGCAGGACAGCCAGTGGTCCAGCTTGTGAGGCGGCCTTCTGTGTACTGTAGGTTTGTGGTATCTTGTATCGCCCAAAGAAAGGTCCAAGGGCACGAAACCCTGGGGTTCAAGCAAAAGGAACGGTGGAGGTCAAAGACCGGGTTTGGCGTGGAACCTTTTGCCAACCACACCAAAGCCAGGGCCTTGATTTCTCGCCGCGCAGGAGGATCTCTGTTTAGCGCATCCGGGGTCGGGCCCACAGCCTCGATGAAATTTGATTTGCCTTCTTAGCTCAGACTCAGACCCCAGTCGGATATCTTATCTGCAGATGAGCAGGACCTTGTTTAGTCGTGAAAGTCATCTCTTTTGGTTTCCCTAATCGCCCCCGGAAAGGACCTTTTGATGAACCCCATGTAAATCTTGATGGGCCTTAGCCACCAGACTTCCCAGAAGCCTTCTAAGAGCCAAGGCTGAGTTTTGTCCCTAAAGGTAGCTTAGGGTGTTGAGGCATGACCCACTCTGAGGCCTCAAGCAGCGCAGGCAGGATCTCTGATCTGAGTGTTTCTAAAGGAGGGACTGGATCCAGACCTTTGTTTTGCTGCTTTTGGTTGAAGGGCGTTGCCCAAAAGATCGAGTGCTAGCACAAGTGCCGCTTTTTTTCCCACGGCCAGGTCTAGGTTGTCGTTTTCCCAAAAGAAGGCACCTTTTGGGGGTCGAATGCACTAGACTCGCGCCTTTCCAACGGCCAGCAGAGTCACTGACCCTTGCTTGGGATGCGGTTCCTTGAACGAGGGTGCCTAAATGTCAGGGCAAACGAGGCGCCACTGTGCCCAATCCGACGAAGCCGGACTGTGGGCTTTCTTGCCCACGAGTGAATCAGTGAAGGCTGTCATGCAGAGTTGCTTTGCGAGAACCCTAAACGGATTTTTGAAACGGGGTCCAGCTTGCACCAAAGGGCAAAGATATGTGTAACCTCCGAGAACGCATTTGTTCGAAGCCCTTTCGGGTCACCCACATTTTACCAGCTGGGAAGACAGGCCACGTCTTTCTTCAGCGAGACGATCTCCCTTGTACTTACCTGCTGGCAGGTTGATATGTCTTACCTAGCTCCCCCCTTTCCAGCTGCAGAGGTCCATTCCACACCCTTGTTGTTTAAGGTGTTATACCCCGTGGTAATCCGAGATTCAGCCTAAAAGGGGCCTTGCACCGATCAAACTCAACCATGAGTTTATTAATCCGATGTTCTCATTGATTGAATCGAGGAAGCGACATGCTAGTGCCCTGCAGGAACCAGCGCTGCCGCCAGCGCATCCCAAGTTGTGGATGCCTTGGGTCCCAAACGAAGGGCATCCCCTTTGCCGCCTGCACACCCTTTTGATTGGTTTAATGAGCAACAAGTCCTCTACGGGTCCCCACATTGAGGACATGCCGGTACATGTTACAAATTTGCTGCGGCAGCGGGGCCGTGGGGGCTTTTTTCTGTATGCCCACCCGCCGCCTGTTGTTGTTTCATGACCCAGGTTGACCTTTGCAGTTCCGCGAGTGGATTTGTGTTTTTTCTTCTTCTTTTTTTCTGTCTTTCTAAGGATATCAAAATCAAAGTCAGAAACAGAAGTGGGTTAACATTAGGGCTCGTCAAAATAGGGGACCCGGGTTTCTTTTAGGATTCCCTTCGAACCAACTTGAAAAATGTACTAACCCTGGACGATGCTAAGATTTCCATGGGGCCATGACTCAGAGCCGCAACTTGGCTCGAAATCCCCCCCCCCCAAAACAAAAAGAAGAAAATGGTGTGGGATCCTTGCGTTTCCCTTTAGAACCACCCCAAAACGGGTAGGCCCCGCATGTTCTAACACTGTTTCAGAAACCAGTCTGCCCTGAAATCGGGGATTTAGGCATTCATTCGCAGTTGAAGGTTCGCTAAGTACAGGCTAGAATATCCCTGTGTTCGGTTTGGCGGAAAAGCTGAGGTGGTTGGGGGGAGTGGACAAATGGATACGCTTGTACCCTGAACCGCTCTCGACCTTTGAGTTTTTCAAGTTGTCTCAAGATAGTCTTTCACGTCCCGACACCTTGCTTGAACAAAATCGTCCCCCTTCTCACGCCGGAAGGCTTGAAGATGTTTTTATTTATCATATTCCCATGTTGCACATGTCAGCACGCAGCCCAACTTTAAACCAGCACAAGGCTTCACGACAGGGATAGTGCCATCGTGGAGTTGTCACATCCAAAGAAAGCAAAGGGAAACCGATCCAACAAAAGGGAACAGTACCATGAAAAAGGGAACAACACCCACATTGGCTGTGTGAACCAGTGCCTCTAGAGGTCGATTCTCCGCTATTTTCAACCATAGTTCTTTGCAAAAGCCGCCGTTTCCCCCTTGTTTCATGGTTTTCTGGACAGAAGGATTCGCGACAACGATGTTGGGTGGTATATTCAAAGCAATGCAGCTGGAGCATTGTTTGGTGGAAACAAGGAGGGTTACACGGAGGCTTAGGAGGGGTGTCATGGCTACAGGGCGAACCTGCACGAGCTTGCCTGAGGCTGGTGCATCGCCTGCGCGCGGTGTCCCGTGCAGCACCACAGGTTCCATTTGTGGACTACCCCACGGTATCAGGCATCCCCCAGTTGGTGGTTTGAGTTTCGATTTGAAGCCCTGGCTGCAGAGGGTAAATGGGAACATCTCCGAATAGTTCAAACTGAAACCTAAGGGTGGATGATTTTCCGCAGAGAATAGCTTTGGGTTGAAGTTTGTATTGGTACCACTTGCATTTGGAAAAACCGCCGCACAAGGGACTCTCGATGTCGGGTCCCAAAAAGGGGAGCTTGGGGCAAATGGACGACGTGTTTTGGTGGCTTTCAAGGGACATCAAATGCCGCTCTTTCTTGAGGTACCCAAGCAGCAGCCTGATAAAGGAACCCATGATGCAGCTTTCTCTCGGGTGTCCTGGGTCTAAGGGGCGTAAATGCAGCCCCACCCAACGGGAGATGGGGGGGAGATGTCCCCTGCAAATCTCCGTTTGGGGGTGTCATGTTTTCTGGGACCGTCAAAAATGGTTGGTTCATTTCCTTTGTTGGTTTCCCTTTGAAACCACCAAAAGTGGGATAGCTTTATATTGAGACACCGATTTCTAATTAACTTTCCTTGTGGGAAGGCAAGACACCTGGAACGGAGGCAACCCCCCTTGACAGTAGGGGATCGAAACACCCATTCACCACTCCACATGTGCCTTGAGCAATAAAAGTTGGGGACCCACAGAACTGGTCGGTTTCACTTCAAGTAAAGTTCAAAGGCAGCATCCGAAGTTGGGGCAAGACCCGTGAGAACTTTTTGAAATTCTACTGTTTCACGTGTGGAGGAGCCCCCCATTTGATCACGGGTTGATTCATCGGTGTCTACATTGGGCTTCTAAGGGCATTTGGTTGAGCTGACAATGTTCTGAGGCCAAAAGCAAGCTCAGCACAGGCAGGGCTTGGAGCAAGCAGCCGTGCGCCGCTGCCAGCGGTATTTCCAAATATGGGAGTTCCCATTAATATTCACATGTTTTCTTAAACAGTCCAACCTCGCACAACTAGCTAGAACTAGGCCAATACAAAAACGATACAAGCTCAACAAAGTTCCGTACCTGAGAGCAGAGTTCTATTCGTTTGTCAAAATATGGATTTGCCCCCCCAAAATGGATTCGTTTTTCCGCAACACAAATGTACCGAAAAATGCTCACGAATCCTTGAGAGACACGTGACCATGTTGGATAGTTTCTGTGCTTGGCACGGGGAGGAGCCAATTTGACAGCCCAAAGTGGCATAGGCAGACCCTGGGACCCCATCCATTTTTGTGAACCCAGCAGAGTCTTCATCAAGCGGGGCCATATTTATTGTTGTTTGCGATTTGCACTTGGCAGGGACCACTCCGCTCCTTCCAGGGACCAATGTTGTACACTTCCGATCAGGTCGAATGGGAGCACCTGCCAGACCGTGCCAGGCAGGCGCTTCGGAGGCAGAGAAGGCGGACGTCAAACAGGCCGGAGAGGTTTTCTGTGGGTGTCGTTTTTGGAGGGTCCCTGTTTGTTTGGCCTTGGCGGATTTAGGGGAAAGTTTTCAGGAAGCTACTAGTAACAAGTCTGGGGGTCCTTTTGAGACAGACCCCTAGGGGGAAGGCCCTGCCACTTGTGGGTTTCCTATCATTTCCCGTTCTGCTTTTGAGTATACCTTTTGGGCTTCCTGTAAGCACAATGTAGGCTGGCAGTATTGGGAGCTGACTTGAGCGGTTGAGGGTCGAGCCGTCTGGAAACATGTTAGGACCCTCGAAGGTTCTAGGAAAGTGTCCTAGGGGTGGGGATCCTTTTGTTTCTCCGTACAGCGGGGATTGCCTGACGGAGGATTGCCTGTTTCAGATCAAGTGTTTGATGGTCCATGCAACTTGCGTTATTTGGAGGTCCGCAGCTGTGGGCAAGCGGCAGTTGTACGACTGCCTGTGGCAAAGCATGGCAAACCCCCATCTTTGATCCTTGCCCGTGTGTTTGGCTTCTTTTCTGATTTCCAATTCCCAAGTCACCCTCTGATAAAACAAATAACTGGCGGTGGGTTGGGCTTTGAGAACAGCTGTCAGAGGTCCGATTGAGGGAACCCTCACCATGCCCTGTGCAGTTTTGAGGTGCAGAGGGTGGGGGTTGTGGGGCCTATTTCAAAGTTAACTTCAATCTGGAGGGGTTGTTGGGACCTTCGGACATGTCCAAGGGGCTCAGTATTTCCAAGGCCCGTTGCATCGCAGTTATGTAGCTGGTGGGTTGTCAAGTTTGGGGCAGCCCCCTTTTAAAGGCGGCACCTACCGGAAGCGCCGAAACGGGTCCAGAGGGGCCGTCTTTTGAAGACCTCTCAGCTCTCCCCAGACTCCGGAGTAAGGCTCTTTGCGGCGTAACGGGTACCTGGCTGTGTCTTTTTAAGGGCACCTCCCAATTTGTGGTTTTCCTTTGGGTTTTCCTTTTAACACCTACAAGCAACGAGTACTCTTGAAAAAACATCTACATGTGATTTTGCTTTTGGCTTTCATTTAAAACCTTGAAACAAAAGGAACCCTCACGAAAAGGAGCCTCACCCTTCTGGCTGCGAGGCCTACAAGGAGCGCATGCTGGAGATCTACGAAAAGCACAACCCCAGCAAGGTGAACCTCGGCTCTGAAAATGAATTCCCAGCGGGTGTGTGTGTGTGTGTTGCGGATTGGGGTTCCCTCGATTTGAATCTCTGTTTTTGTTTTCTTTCTCGAACCTTTGAAAGTGGCGATCGTTTCACTGGCAACCACCAGTCGTTGGCAAGTTAGGGGGAAATCCAGTGACCCCTGGATTGCGGATGGACCGGATCCACACAGATCCTTTGAAGCAGCCCAAACAGGGCTCCCCCGAAGACACACCCAAATAATGTGTGGAGGGGCCAGGGCAGACACGTTTTTCCGACCGGGGGAGGGCAAGTGCGCTTAATTCATCCGGGATTCATGCAGCCTTTTGCTAGTTGAATCAGGAGACACATCTCACAAACCCTTTCAGGAACCTCTCCAGAACAGGTTCCTTCAATGCGTTTCTTTTCCAACCTGGGGGGCCTTCTTGGGGCGCTTCACCCATTCAACAGTATGTTTACCTCTGGACACTGGCGTGCACCTGGCGTTTTTGTTGGGACCCCAGCCTGGGAATCGCGGAAGTTCAAGATTGCCCCAAACTTGCTTCCGAATTCGCGGACATTTTGCTGGGAAGTCTTGTTTGCGATCTCTAACGGAGGGAGCATGAGGGAGCATTGAGAGGGATTGGAGTCAGTTTTGAAAATGACACTTTGATGCACCTAGATAGAGCCAACAAGTGTCCCTTCAAGCCCTGATTTAGAGAGTAACTTTGAGGACCGAACGTGAGCCAAGGAGTGAGATCGACAGCCTCATGGGCAAGTACGTGGGCCAAGAGCACACGACGCCTTGCCAAACTTAGCTATTTTTCACTGTTTGTTTGTTTGTTTGTCTGCCTTTGTGGCGTTTCTTTGTCTTTGTTGCCGTTTTTCATTTCCCTTCCCACCAGCCAAATACCAAAGTCCGTTTGGCCCAGGATGTACCTTAAGATCTGCAAAAAGTACGGCGTGGACCCGAAGCCTGCCGTTGTACCAGGCCGGGGGCAACTTGCGTCCCGGCCATTGGCCCTGGAGGGCTGCAAGCTCGGAGATCCTGCACCATCTGAGAAGCCTTGGAATGGGGCGATTCCCCTGTAAAAATTCAACAAACAAATGGCTTCCCGTGGTTTCAACATGGCGGTAAAGACCAATAAGCAATGGTTTTTTTCATGGTTTCAACTTGTTGCCGGAACCCCTGTAAAATTTCAACAAACCATGGTTTTTCATGATTTCAAAATGGTGCGAGCTGGATTTCGTCCATCCTCAGTATGACCAACAGACAATCGTGGTAGTTTGTTGTTGAGTTGGACAGGACATGGGGTCATGGGGTACCAACCCAGTTTCCGCCATTTTCACAAGGCAAAGGGCTGCCCAATTGAACCAAACGTAAGTAACATTGTCCATGGCGCTATGTGCCAGTGTTGGCGTTGTTGTTGCTGTTTTTGGTTTGTGTTTGCATTTTGAGAGTACCCTTGTCAATTTGACGTAAAAGGACACCAAGTAGAAAGCCGCAATTTTGGAGTGGGTTGCTTCCTTTTGAGATTTCTTGTTCTGGAGGTGTCCCTGCAAACTCAACTATCAAACAGGTGTCAGGTTTTCCCCGGGTCACTGGGTCTGGATTCTCCCAGCAACGGTATGGCAGGTCAAGTGGAATCCTCGCTGCAACTCGATGGAGGGGTCCCTCGATTAAATTGTTTGGACCTCCAAAGGTAGCGATCGCTTCACTGGAAGCCACCTACGCGAGTGGAGAGTCAAGCGAGAAACGGACTGGATACCTATCCACAGTTTTGAGACACACATGGGCATGGCTCAAAATTAAAGAGCTGGGGTTACGCGGGTTTCAGTCTTTGGTTCCATTTGCCAAGGTGCCATTTAATACCGCTTTTTTGAGCCACTGCCACATTTGCGCGAGAGGTGTGCTTGGCTTTCACAATGCCAATGACCAGCCGCAGGCGCTGTCAGCAGCACTACTGGCAGCAGCTCTGTTGGCAGCGGCACCACTGGCAGCGGCACCACTGGCAGCGGCACCACTGGCAGCGTGCCTGCCTCGGACATTGGATGTGCTTGAGGAGCCAGAGGTTGACCCATTACTGTAGGAGTTGTTTCCCAAGTTACATCAGGCCAACCCTCACGAAAAATCCGAGCTCGTCCGTAAAGAGCGACCTTAAACAATAAGTAAATCCGGCAGCTCTCAAGCCTTTGAAGTTTCGTTTCCACCAGCTTCCATGAGTCCATATCCTTGTTTCGAGGTCGGAAGCCAAGAGACGTCACACTCTGATTACCTTGTGCAACTCCCTTAGTTGGATTGGATCCCTTAGTTGGAAGGGATTCACTCCCTTAGTTGGCGGGATTCCTCAGAAAGCCATGACCGCATGATGTCTGATCATTCGAAAAGGAAAGGGCGGTTCCCCTTCAAACAGCCAAACAAGGGTATACCTCAAAAGAGACAGAACATATGTGATTATTCATTCCATCTCAGAACACAGGTGTGCTCGTTGTGAAGCGACTGTGTCTCAACATCGGGTGATTTCCAAACGCCCGATTTCGAATGGTTTTCCCTCGCTAAACAACAACGTACCAAGACTATAGGGTGTGTGGTTTTGGGCTGCACAGGAAAACAACTGACAAAAAATGGAAAACAACACATTTTTGGTGGTTTTCACACACATACAGGTATTGGTATAGTCCCAAAATTACGGGTCTCCATTACCAACATGTAAGAATAGTCCTTGAAGTGCATGCCTCGACTTGTACCTACACCACAGAATATTGGAGCAGCTCCCAAGCCCACGCCACTCTTCGCCCAGACTTAATGAGTTGTGTTTGTCCCTTTTGCCCTCGGTCGCTTCATGTTCCCTTTGAACCAAGCAGCTCACTTTTTGCGCGTCGGATCCATTTGGCCACTTGTATCCGTCTCTGAGCGACTTGCTGTTCAGCTGAGGCACCGCTGCACCTGCCTCAGCGGCAGTTGCAGTTGACAGCAATCACCCGGGTAGATGAAGGTCCGTCCCCTCACGATTTTGCGCAGATCTCTGGGGACTTGTTTGGCTAATTTGGTTTTGGGACTCACTTTGCTCTAGGTTTGCATGACTCATCTGGCTCCTGCAGTCGTGGTGGTGTTGAAACCAGGGCCATTCTGCTGATTACCGTTTGTAAAGGAATCTCCCTTTGGGAATCGGAGCTGCTTGTGGGGTTGCATGGCAAGTTGCAGGGGAGTAACAAGCCGCCCCTTCCAGGGGTTCTTCGCTTTCGAACCGCCTATGTGGGAAGGGATCCTACAAGCCCATGGGTACCGGCAAAGGAAGCCCTCAACTAGAGCAGGCTGTAGAGATTCCCTAAAGGACAACCCGATTCAGGGCCATAGCAAGGGGAGCCATTGAAGCCCTGAAGTGACTATTGGTGACTGTTAGGGGCCATTAAGGACGCAAAAGGGCCGCAAACCATGTGGCTCTGAATCAGTATTTTCTGGTAACCCTTAGTTGGTGGTTTGGATCGGTGGTTCGCATTTAAAGATTGGATCGGTGGTTTGATTTGGGTTAGTGGTTTGCATTTGGATTTGGATTGAGGGTAAATGGAAAATCCGACTTTCAAACTACCAATCTAAACCTCCAAGTAGATGGAAGCTAATGGTTGAAGTATGCTCGTTTGGCTGGTTTTTGGGGACGAGCACGTGAGCAGGGGTTATGCATTTTCTACAAGGCAAACGAGCAAACAAACAAATACGAGGCTTCCATGCACCAACCAGTTGTAGTGCGAGTTTTCAGTGACACCCTTTTCAAGTCACTAAGTTTTCATTGGTGGGTTCCCTGCAAGAATCAACGAGCACAACAACCCATCCCTGGGTCAGCATGTGTACAAAGAGTTGCGCAACTGTCTCAATCTCCGAGGGGGCGTGCCCGACGTGCCCCAGTACTCTCCCCCCATCCCGGCCGATCATTTGCTCCCATCTTGAAGTGCTTGCTTATCACGCTTGGGTCTTTTTTTGTCCGTACTGTGACCTGGTTTTTGCGATGGTGTTGTGTATAGACCTTTTTGGAACTCCACCAATGGTAAGTAGCATTCCCTGCCTATGTTACTTTTGTAGAATAGCGCCAAATACGCAGTAGCTGGTAGACACTGCGCCCCAAACCATTGTGGATGCTTCTTTGGTACGCATTGCGCACCAACATCGAAAACTTGACCCACATTTGTCAATTGGAACAGGGATCGCCTTGGTTTGGGGCGGGCCTGGCTTTGGGTTTCAGGAGAGCCTTACTAGGGGGCTAATAGGTCATAGCCCTCCTCTTGACTGGCCCACAATGGCCCAATCTTTGGTTTGAGGTCCGGATTTGCAACTACGTCTGCCTCGAGCGGCGCAGAGCTTGGCTGGTCGTTTGTCGGGCCGTCGGCTCTTTTCAGGGACTTCTGGTGACATGTGGGTGTGCTTTGTTTGGATGTTGCATTTGTTGTGATCTACAGTGTAAACGCCCACTGTTTTTGGAGTCTCCAATTTTCAAGACACCCATGTCCAATAACCATTGTAAGGTGTCCCTTTTCAGGCAAACATGCCCATAGGCCGCAGACACAGTTTTGCCTTTGAATGTGCACCAAATTATGCCGACTGTTTGCCAATAGAACAATGACTGTTTATCTTGGCACGTGGGTCATACGATCTCAAGACCCTTGTGCTGTTCAAAGGCAAGCCACAGACCGAGGTGACCCTAAATGTTGGCCTGCCAGGATCCTGAGTTGGGGCCCAAAATAGGTATTTTTGACACCCAACTTCGGTTGTACCCAGTTCCAAGTTCCCCTAGCCCCAGGACGCTTGGGGCTAGGGTCCAGAGTGGTTGCTATTCTCTCAAATCACTCCCAAAGAAGACGTCACTGTCCCCCAAAAGAGAAACACTGGTTCACGCTTTTTCTGTTCGCGAGCCAGTTAGTTTGGTTTGCTTTCGGGGAAGTCAATAGTGAAGACCGTGTACCTTTGAGCCTGAATTCGACCTTAGAGCCTATTTGAAGTCTGGCAGCTGGTTGATTAACAGTTGGGTGTCCCATTTAAGAGGGGATCCTTCACTTTTTTGGGAAGCACTGCCATATTAATTCCCCCGGTTCATGAATCCAGGGGGCGACCTTAATCTACACTTTTGGGGTTCGGCGACCACCGAATATTCATAGTGGGATGGGCTAATGCTCAGTTTTCCATAATTTTCATCCATCGTGCAGGTTTGGCCAGTGGCGCATTTGGACCGCCGTGACCTTCTTTCCGACTCAGGTGGCTCCCTCTTCGCTGGAGGCGCCGGATTCTCTTTGCACGGTTGCTGCGAGCTGATCAAAATCCAAGGGTGGGGCTTCTCAAATAGAGGAGGACCACCAACTGTCTTTAGGGATCCCCCAGCAAGTATCTCCCATGGTCGAAAAACTGGTTTGGTTCCGCTTGAAAAGTGACTTATGCCGATCCGGTCTTTGTGGTAGCCCTGTGGCGGGTTGTGCAAAGGGAAGACTGCCTCTCTGTCTCTCTCTCTCTCTCCCTCCCTCTCTCTCTCTCTCTCTCTCTCTCTCTCTCTCTCTCTGGAATTTGCTTGCATGAGTGCCCCTTAAAAGGCAATTGCACGGCAGTCAATGCGCTGAGTTCTTTGTGCGGGAGCTTAGATAAAGGAGGCGGCGGCTTAAGCTGCCCAAGTGATCCGTGGCCCAGGGTCAGTTTGGGGTTCGAGAGGGACTTTCATAAATGAGTTCTCCTGGGTACCCCGGCATGCAAGCCTAGGCTTACGAAAGGGTACCGCCTGGGGGCAAACCTCCCAATATTTGGGATTGGATTTTGCAGATCTATTCCGCCCACACCCGCACCCCTACAGAAGAACTCTGACTTAAAGCTGACGCTCGCTGGTCGCCTGCAAGTACATTTTTCCACTCCGCAGGCTCCGATGCTGCGAAAGCCAAAGAACCGGCACCGGCGCCGGCGCCGGGGCCTTCGCGTCGCATCACTCGTTGAAGCTGGTCTGTTGGCTTGCTGGTTCGAAAGAGAATGGTTCCCTGTTCCTTCGGGCATAGTCAACTCTCCATTTTGACCAGCGAAGGGAGACAATTGCGAAAGCGACGCCCCTTTGGACATGCTCAATCCTGACCAGGCGCTGTCTCTCTTTATACTGGGCTTGCTTCTGAAGGTTGTGTGACTTACTTTGAGCTTTCCTTTCACCAGCCATCAAGGCTTGCTTAAAAGTCTCTCCCACGTCCCCCACGGATTTATTAGCACCCGCATCACAAACCCGACCCTTTTGGTTGGCAATTCACCCTGGCGGTTTGGAGTGTCCTCGAAAAAATATTGTTCTTTCTGGGTAGACTAGATGAGTGTGAAAAATCAACAGATACAAAGGGCGGACATCATTCAGTAGGGGTTCATGTCCGCCAGCACTAGTGAGATGGTTTTGTATTGAAATTCTGATTTTTCTTGTGAGGTGTCCCCTTCTCCCTTCTGAGGCGGCTCCATATCATTTTCGGTTTACCCTCAGACCTTCGGCTCGGGCTCGGCCACAGGTCGTCGCTCTTCGGTGAGGCAGGGAATGGACTTGAGAAACTGGGCGAGCGTCCGGGAAAGAGGTAGGAATTTAAGCACTGGAAGGGGTTAAGGGGATGAAGCACTGGGTCAAGAAGGGTTAAGGCTGAAGAAGGGCTTGGGAAGGGTCAAGAAGCGATTGCGAAGGGGGTACGGTATGGAAGGGGCAAAGCAGACGTCCAAGTCCAAGGTTCTTTTTAGGATCCAACACGAATCGTTGGAATGTTGACGCATTGGCTTCATGGGACAATGACCTTGGGAGGATATTATGAGTCGCAATCAATATTGAACGTGTCCCGAGTAGCATTGGATTTTGGTGGGTAAACCCCGCTTCCTAGCAGTAATTTGGTGTGTGTGTGTGTCCAATGTCGTTCCCCTTGCGACAGTAGATGACCGTGAATACAAGCCTTTGCTCGCATCAAGAGCCCGCGCGCCGCAATGGTTTTCCGAAGTCCAAGTTGGATTGTATGTGTGCGTGTTTGCGTGTGTGTGTGTGTGTGTGTGTGTGTGTGTGTGTGTGTGTGTGTGTGTGTGTGTGTGTGTGTGTGTGTGTGTGTGTGTGTGTGTGTGTGTGTGTGTGTGTGTGTGTGTGTGTGTGTGTGTGTGTGTGTGTGTGTGTGTGTGTGTGTGAAGCGTCCTGGAGCACGGACGGAAATTCCACATTGCAGGGGGACTGGAGCCGATTTGCCTATCCAGTCCAATGAAGCTACGGCATTTCGGTGGATACCGGATCTGATCAATCCGGCGTACCTGCCTATTTCCTGACCCTCTTTCCTGATTCTTTTTGCGGTTTCTGTTTGTCGCTGTTGCTTCCTGTTCGGTGTCGATGTTGTGACCTGTTGATTTGCATTTGCATTCAAGCATTTTTACTGACTGCGTTTTGCATCTCGGCTAGTGAAGCCTCTCGAGATAAGTGTGTTTACCCACGGCCTGTCCGACATGGCGCTGTGGGCTGGACTCGCCATATGCGGGAGCCCCCTGCGAGGGGAAGACCGTTCAAGTGTTCAAGTTCAAGCTGCAGTTCAGTTCAGCGCGTTTGACCACGATCAAGGCTGCAGCTTGAGGTCTTAAGGTATTCCGCACCCAAATGGTGCTCTGCTGGTTTCATGCGCCTGCACTGCCTGCACTGCCTGCCTTTGAAGCAAGGCTGCACCCACGAGGTTTCAGGCTCCTAAGCTTCATGCGCCAGTGACGAGTTGGTCATACACCAACTCTGCAATTCGTAGCGTTCATGGAAGCTTTCGTCTCGGATGAGTTCAGTTCAGATTCATCGGCATAGCCACATGAGCCACATGAGGCACTTTCATGAGGCCACTTGACAGGCACCTCTGAGAACCCCTGTGTGCTCGCATGCATTTCTGTGAAAACTTTTGCCGTTGCCGCGGGGTTTTGGCGGTCCCCTGGTGGAATTCCCTCTGTTTGGTTTCGATTCGCAGGTTGAAGTTGGCTCGCATGCATTTGCACCTTTGACGCTTTTCTGCTGCAGGTGTGGTTTTGTTTTCACCCCTTTCCAACCTTCTCTCTCCCTTGCGAGATGGCTGGACACCAGCTCTATGACATGATGCATTCGCTCCTGCACAGCATTGCGACCGGCACCGCGTCCGGCTCACCAGGCAATTGTGGACCGAACTTGCAGCTGTCATCCCAGATGACGCAGCCCATGAACCTTGTACCGTCACCCAACTCGCAGACGGCATCCTTCACACCTTTCCCCATGATGCCCTACGGCGGCCTCTCGAACTTTGGCAACCCGATGGCCATGATGCCCTACGGTGGCCCTCCCAATTACGGCAACTTGGCACCTGGCACCATCATGCCTTTCATGACTCAGAGCAGCATGCCATCTTCACTGCCCGAGCCTCAGCCGGCGCGCGCGCCCGAAGCTGCCGCTGCGGCTCCTGCCGCTACCTCCTCAACCAACCACCCTCCCCCGGACACTCGGCACCATCCCCACTCTCGCAGATCCCGTTCCCGCCACAGGCAGCACCGACACTCCCACTCCCACACCAGCCACCATCGCAGGCACAACAAGTCGCACCGACGACACGACACCCGACGATCCCGCAGCTACAGCAGGTCACGTTCCCTTTCCCGACACTCCCACCACTCCCGACGTGCACACCACTCCACTGTCTCCCTCCGCTCCCGCTCCCCCCGACACAGGTCCCACCATCGACACTCCCCTGCACCCAGTGCCACGACTTCGCACCGACCCACTCACACTACTCATGATTCCACCTCCTGGCGCACTTCCGGGAAGGACTCCTGGCGCACTTCCGGGAAGGATCCCAACAAGTCTCAATGGTCCTCCTCACACTGGCGGAACCAATCGTGGGGATACCCACCACAGAACAAAAACCGCTGGGACATGCACCACCACGGCGCCAGCCACACCGGCCACCGAAACAACCAGGACAAACGATCGTCCTGGTCACTGCAGCACCATGGGCAGCAACCCCACCCCACTTCCCGCACCGGCCACCACAACACCAGCTTGCCCCCTCGCCCAGCACCTGCGGCGGCCTTCACTTCCACTCCCCCTCCCCCTCCCCTCCCCGACCCACGCCGGCTACTCCTCACCCTCCCCAACCCCCCTCCGACAACACCGGTGATTTGGATCCCCCTCCATCGGAGGCGGACATCAACGCCACCACCACTTCCGACAACCGGTGGCTTGATCTATGGAGAAACGTCATGGACACGGCCAAGACTGACCCGCTGCGAGTTCCCACGCCTAGGGAGTTGGGGGAGCTGGACCCGCTTCCAGCCTTGGACATCTCCAGGATGGAACAGACTAAGGCCATTTTGATGGACCTGGACCCTGCCTTGCCACCTTCACATGCCGATCTCCTCGCGGAATGCTGGGAACTGCGAACCATGGACACGGATGATCCCATACCGTTCGATCCCAGCTTCTACCACCTCTTGGGACGGGAATCACACGGCATGGTGTTCGCAACCACTTGGTTTCCCCGACCTCATCCTTGGCCAGTTGCTGGCGGAGACCCGGAAGCTGGATCCGGCACGGCCTCCCATCACGCTGTCATGTATGTGCACGGCACCACCCCGGATCGAGTGCGCCGCATGTGCCATGAGAACATGATCCGACCCGCTGCTTGGAGGCCCGAGAACCATGACTACCCGAGCTTTGGATGCTACGCTCAGGCCACCCCCACGGCATGCACGCCCGACACGCTCGGCCAGCTCTTGCAGAACTTTACAATCGGAAAGTCTCAACTCGGCGCCATCGCTTTTGGGGAACTACGCTCCATCAATCAGCACAAAATCCTCGAATCCGGGGGAAGCCACGAGGATCAACACAACGTGCGGCGCCACTTCGCATGCCGCCGAGGCAAAAAGTGGTGCCTTCACTCCAAGTTTGCGATGCTGAGAGGCATCGCGCTGCAGCGCCCGGCTTAGCGGGGCGCAAGTGTACCATCTTCCACCCAACCAGGAAAAGAATTGGTGCACTGTTTGATCGCCTTTTTTCTTTGCTTTGCTGTTCTGCCTTTCTGCGACCGTTTTCTCGCCTTGTGACCTTACCCGCTTGATTCCGCTCACCAGCTTTTTGGTTCGAACTTTTCCTTTTCCCCCGTGTTTTTCGCATGGCTTTCCAACCCCCTCGAGGTTTGGTTCCGATGCTCCAAAGGCAAAACTTACCACCGCAGCCTTCGCCCACGGCATCCCATCATCACGGCATCATGTACGGCAACAACATGGCCGGAAACCCGTGCGGGGCCCTGTCCGGACCTTCCTACGGATGCTCTTCCACGACATGGACACCGCCAACTACACATCCGACTCCCTGTCAGACCTACGGCCAACCTATTCCCCATTACCCACCACACCCCGGCCCTCGTCCACCCTCCTTTGGCGGCTCTCTCCCCCCCCCTCCCGGCGGCAACCCCTTTCCCCCCCCTCCCCCCGGCCCCTTCACCCGCCCTCCACCTTCCCCCTCCCCCTCCACCGCCTCGCAAACCAAACCTCCCCCGGCCCTTCGACCCGTCCACTCAGTCCCAACACCAGCCGAGTTCAACCCTGGCGACGATCACTACGACACCACCCGCGTCGCGGGGTACGACCTGCCCAAGGTCATAACGCACACCGCGTTTACTCGGCAAATGGGCATCGAGGGACAAGACATCGCTCGCGTCCCCCTCCTCCACCTCATGCACGAACAGTGGAACAGTTGGTGGTTGCGTCACCTCGCCCACGGAGGCGAAGTCCGCATCGTTGTCGCAAAGTCGATGCCGGAATCAGTGTTTGCTGCTGGACTACTCAGCCAAATCCGACAACGGCACCTCGACCTGGACGCCCTCGCCCTCCATGTAGCCACGCAGGAGGGCGCCTCGACCACCAAACCAGCAGCCATGAAGCTACTCACCAGCAAGATCTTCGACTTCCTCATCTCCCTCCGACCCACCACTACGGCCGATCCGGCCTCCGCGGCCACCATACTCCAGCTTCAGCAACAGCTTGCTGACGCACACAACCAACTCGCCCAGCAGGCTTCATCCCCCCCTCTCCCCCCCACACCCACCTCATCCAACAAACGCCCAGCCGATCCATCTCAGGCCTCCCTCCTGGACTTCGGCATGAAGCGACCACGGTTGACTACACCTGACACATCACCGCAGGACGGATCCCCCGCCCTACCCCTGCCCACTCGCATTGCAGACGACTCCCAACCCCCCCCGGCTCCCCCCACCCTCGGCGGCAACCCTCATGACCCCTCCACCCACGGCGGCACCCCGACCCCTCCCCCCCTCCCCTCCCCACCCACTTGGAAGGAGCCCCGCGACTTGCTCCAACCACCTCCCCACGTTTGCCAATGGCTCACCAACAACTTCCCACCCGACCTTTCCGACACCAAAGTCCAGCGATGGATCACCTCCCAGAAAACCAGCAAAGAGAGCAAGCAAGTCCTAAAAAGCTGGTCCAACGACTGCGCAAAATGGGCAACCACACTGGACTCCGACACCAGAGCCCAACTCGAACGAGCCGCTGTGCTATGGGGCATCCCGGTGCGAACCCTATCAAAACTGGGGTCATCGGCCTTGGGCCGCATCCTGGCCGCTGCGAGTCACTTCTACCAGTGACTCTCAACAGCACACCGACAACGACGCACAGCCAGGCAGCACAAATTTTGGCAACACCACTGCTGCCAATTTCTCACTGTCCTCCGTTTCACTCTTCGGTTCTTCCCAACCGATGACGTCACCGCACGTCATTTTTGCTCCTGGCTACTCGCACAGCTTCAGCTACTTGACGTCTGCCATCTCTCCTGTGGTTCCGGCAGACTGAAAGCCCTGCTTACTCGACTTGGCCTGGACAACCCTGCTTCCGATTTCTCTTCTCAGCTTGTCCCTTCAGCGGTTTATCTGAGATTCACCAGCCATCCAAAGTGGCAGACCTTTTTCTACCTCGGAGCCACTCGCACCTCCCTCATGGCACGGGACCACAGCCGACTTCGGAAACTACTCCAAGTTCAGCGACATCATCTGGTCAATGCCGAACTAGCAGTCCGGTGGTGGGCACATTTTGACATTTTCCACCACTACACCTCGGTGCCCATTCACACTGCCGTTCCAGCAACGGACCTATTTGCCACTGAACAGTTCTACATCCAGGAACTGCAACCGTCTCTCAATTTTGGCTTCATCGAGAAACATTTCCGGCCACGCACGGGCTTCACACGCCAATTGGACTTCTCCCAATCCCGGCACATGGGCTTCGCCACCATCTGGCGAAAACGCCGCCGACTACGACTACCCATCGCCCTACAACAGGCCTTCCTGGCCAAGCGCATGAACAACCGCCTGGATTTGTGGCGATTTTTGGGCGATCTTGGCAGCAACACTCTACGACGATTTGATGCCATCCGTTACATACGGAGCAGAGACTTCCCACCCGCCGCTCTCTATGTCCTTCATCGCATAGCCACGCACCTGCCTGAACCACACCACCAGGCATGCCTTTCCGCCATTCGATCCAGTTTACGATTCCGGGGCCTCATTCCACCTGGCCCCTCCAGACCGATGCTTGCACCATTCCTCGCCCATCCTTCTTTCCGATCCCTGCTTTTAACCCAACTTCGCGGGTTTATTCGATCTACCACTCGCAGGGCTTTACCGTTTCACATGGCACAACCACGCATTGTCTTCAAGGCACATCGGAGACTCTCCAGTGCCTTGTTCTCACATCTCCAGGCAGCAAAAACCTGGAGTCTCGGTGAAACGACCTGCACATGCACCGACCTCGCCCAACAACACCCATCCCTCCCGAAGCATGACGGACACCTTCTTTTCTCCGGTGCAGACACCCATGAGCTGTTCGACTCCGACACTGCCCACATGCTATCCGGATCGATGCGCAACTCCTTCTTTCCTCCACGAGGGGTCTTGATGAGTCGCCTGACCCAGGCATTTCAACACTGGGCCAGGACCAACAACCTACCCGCGCTCGACCCATCAACCCTCACTACTATTGTCGAATTCCATTTCGACCTCCACCTTTCACACACATCACAGTACTTTCTTCACGCCCACGTCCAACGGGCTCTGCATACCCTGGAACCCCTTGTCCGCCATTGCGAAGACCATGCGGACTCCCGACTCATGATCTATTGTCCCGTTCTCTACGGCAAGATGTTGGAAGCCACTTTTGCGGACCCTGCCATCTTCGCCCCTCTGCCGGTCCCTGCCATTGAGATCCACCAACGACTACGAGAAACCATTGTCACCAGATTCCGCGGCCGCTATCCTTGGGCCGTGACCGGATTCGGAAGGCCAGCCAACGCCTACATCCTCCCGAAGAGGAAGAAGAACTGGACCACTGCCCGACCCATCATCAGTTTCATTGGCGCCTTCTTCCGACCCATGCTCGACGCTCTCGCCAAGCTCCTCCACAGCATGGTGGCCACGGCTTGCCCTGACGCGTTTTCAGGTGGCGACCTCTTTGAACTCATGCGGTCCTTGCACGAGTTTCTAAGCCTCGGCCACACCCATTTGGATTACCGAAACCAGGACCTTTCCGGTTTTTTCACCTCCATCGACAAAGACCGCTTCTTAGCAGCCTGGCGACTACTGCTAACCTGGTACCGACAACGACAACCACACTCCTCTACCACACACCTCACAGTGGACACACTTGACACCTCTGCCATCACCCGCGTCTACAACGGACGCCGTCGCCGACACAAACCCACACAACGCACCCTGTGGCTCGACGACATCCCCGAGATCATTCAGGCCACCCTTGACATGCAGATCTTCTCTGTCGGCCTTCGTTCATTCAGGCAAACACGTGGGGCACCGATGGGATCCCCCGCGTCCCCAGCTCTCTGTTTGATGGTGATCGCGGTCGCCGAACAATGTTGGACCAACACTCACACCACATCGGGACTTCGCTCCGTTGAAGATACTCTCCTGCTCCGCTACGTGGACAACAGACTCGTGATCGCAACCCCCAGGTGGCTCTCGACTCCGGCAGCCAACATACTGTGCGACGAACACTTCTATGGAGGAGACATCTTCCTGGAAACAGAAGCCGCCCTGGACTTCTTGGGGTTCCGACTGAACCTCACAAGCAGCACCATCTCCTTCATTCCCTCGCATGAGAAGCACAACATGCTCTCCGTCAAGTCAGCCGCACCAATGATACATAAGGAATCTGGATATTATTCCAGACGCACGCTGATCAGCCGAGTTTCCTTTCCTGAATTTCAGCGAGATCAGGATCTTGCAATGTTGAAGAGGTTGTACCTCCAACACGGTTTCACCTTACAAAGAGAAGAAAAACCGTCCTTTGCGAAACCACACTGGTTTTCTTCTCTGCCTTTGCACCCTGACAGATTTGACCTGATTTTCGTGCCGCAGCTGTTTGACTGTTTGACCAAAATCCGTTGCGAGCATGGATACCAACACAGCACGCCAGCTGCTCCAAGACTTCGAACTCATCCTTGGCATTGCCCAACAAGGCATCGCCACCATCCGCGAGTTCACTGAGAGTCCGACTGCCGAACCTGATTTGGCACCGGAGGCCACGCTCAACCCCGCCATTGAGGACCTCTTTGAGCCACCTCCTGATGCTCCAGATGAACACCTTCCCACTGATCATGACGAACAATTCCCTGATCATTGGGCTCCGCCCACCCCTCCTTCGTCTTCTCCCGGCGAAAAAGGAGCTCGCCGCGCACGTGATTTGGTCTCCTCACGATCTACGGCATCCAAAACCTGCTCGTGGACCAAGCGAAGCTACCACATCGACCAGGACTGATGCCTCTACTGAGGCCGAACCTGAAGCCTCGCAGCCTTGGACTGAGGGAGAGATTGAACTCCTCCGTTCCCTTAAGACCAATTCCAAAGCCAAGTATGTGTGGTCAGTCATCGCCACAAGACTTTCTCGCACAATTGATGCTTGCAAGACTCAATGGGCCTTGCACAAGTGATGTCGCCCCAGTTGGGGCTCCGTGTGTGTGAAGCGTCCTGGAGCACGGACGGAAATTCCACATTGCAGGGGGACTGGAGCCGATTTGCCTATCCAGTCCAATGAAGCTACGGCATTTCGGTGGATACCGGATCTGATCAATCCGGCGTACCTGCCTATTTCCTGACCCTCTTTCCTGATTCTTTTTGCGGTTTCTGTTTGTCGCTGTTGCTTCCTGTTCGGTGTCGATGTTGTGACCTGTTGATTTGCATTTGCATTCAAGCATTTTTACTGACTGCGTTTTGCATCTCGGCTAGTGAAGCCTCTCGAGATAAGTGTCTAAGCATGGTTGTGGGAGATGATTTGAGGGGCCTTTTGCTGTGATACCAAACGAGCGCCCTTTAAAGTGCTGAATAGCCGTCCACGTTGCTATGGCAAAACGGGCTACAGTACTTAATCCCCGTAGCCATGTATGTGTGCGAGCTTTGATTTTCCACATTTTCTTGTTCAAGCTTGCCAGAGGCGAGCACACAGAATGGCAGGGGACCCGAGAAGCGGGTTCAAATGAGAAGAGTCAAATGAAAGGCAGCATTTTTTTCCATGTCTTTTCGCATCCGAAAGGTTATTTCTTATCGAACTGCAACGAATTAGTCACCCAGATTCGCCTGGATTGCCGGAGGCATCGACAGGCCAGGCGACAGGCCGGGCGTCACGGGGCCTTGGGGACGGGCTGGAAAGAAGGTGTACCTTAAGCCGAGTGGATCCTGGGATTGAGAAGCCACTAGCTATTTGGTTTTTGATGAGTGATTCCCTTGGTTACCTGGTTTACAGGTACATGGAGTTATGGAAAGCTCACTAATGTTTCTGAAGGGGAAGCCCAAAGGATGCCGATTTCGAGTTTAAGGTACTTGGCAAGCCAGCGCGGAAGATGACCCAGCCACAGCTTTTTTTTCTGCCAATCGTTAGTCCCCGCTGCTTGCTCGCCTAATGTCCAATGCGGTTGGGCACTTTGAAAGTTGCCAACCCTGCCACTGACTAAGTCCCCAGTGGACACTGGGCCTTGCCGTAGAAGGGGTACTACTTGTCTTCGCCATATTACTAGCGTATGTCTTCTCTTCCTCTTAGGGATTGCTAGTGACCACACATATTCGTTGCGGGATGAGAGTGATTCATCTGGCACACTCACTCGCCTTTTGAAGCATTTGAAGCAACGAACTGTGGCTCCTTGCTTTTAGATGAAGGAACATAGAAACTGCATCCCGGTGTAGCCCAATCGAACAGAGTCAACCCCTTTTGAATCTGAATGTCATTCTGGCAAAAACAGCTGGCAGTAGTACATGGCTCGAATTAAGCTGACATTTGTGCCACAAATCCTCAGCCAAACCGACCAACACGCTGACTGGCCCAGGTGGGTCTCTCTTTGGCTCATCCTCGATGACTTCGGCTGGAGACCGAGCTGTTCGGATTTCCATCGAAGCAGACAGGGATTCATCGGAGCCCCTTTGGCCTGGCTCAATGTCACCTTTTCTTCGCGTGTCACATTGCCTGTCACATGGCCGTGGAGGAAACCTCGAAAGTCGTAGTCTCCGCAGAGAAACACAACCTCAACGTGATCTATACGATTTGCATTTTGTTTGATTCTGATTGATTTTCAGATCAGATCGATGCCACCCATTTCAGGCGAACACATGATCAGCGCCCGAAAGTCCACAATATTATTTTATCTAAACGGCTTCCTAAATAGCTTCTGCAAAAGGAAAACTCTGCATAGCGAAAGCTCGCCAAAGCGTTTCCCGAAAGCTCAGCCTGTGTGTGGGGCATGCAGCGCCCAGTTTCGAACATGCTGGTGGGGAGGTGTTTCCGCGAAGGCTTCGCGAAAGGCGTGGGTCGAAGAGCCAAGGGGTGGCCTCTTTTGCACTCTATTCCGGCACTAAAACAATGCGCTTCGTGGGCTGGAGCTGCCAAAGCGCACTTGGTGAGCTACTCTGGTACTGAACAGTTGTGATGTTCAAGCTGGAGCTACCAAAGCATACTTGTGTGCTACTCTACTCTACTGAAAAGCTGCCTGCTAATTTCAAGGAGCCGCCCCGCGTGTAGGCAAGATGGCAGCCAGGTGGCATTGAGTCAGCCAGGATACCATTTGTCAATTTCAACTTTTGCTTCCCTCGCAGTGAATTTGCCATACTGTTTGGGTTGCATCTTTGTTTCTGTGGCAAGCCGAAACGCCGAAGGTTGCTCCACCCTGAGACGCCCAGTTCTCGTGACAGTGGGAAAGCGGAAATGTCCGCTTTCGTCTTTGGAGCCTACAAAGGGTTCGACCTCAGGGGGGAAGAGCAACCCAATCTTTGAGCCTTCGTTCTGTTCACTATTTTTCCCCAAAGGAACCACCCATTCTTGGGTTCCCTTATTTTGATCAAGCTTGTGACATGGCTCAGGTTTTTGACATACGAGGCTTTTCAATTGGGATGCTTCCTGTGCAGGGAATCTTGTGACAATTCCCTTGACTGCGGTGAGACTTACAGGGTTTGCCCCTTGCCCAGCGGGCTTTTTGCATGTCTTGTGTTCTAAGATGATCAACGTCTGCTTGTTAGGCAAGCCGTACGTGACATCATTTGGACGCTTCTTGAAGTTTGGGATCCCTCCAGGCAATTGGTTTCCTTTTCGATTGCCTTCAAACCCATCCAAACATGTCTTCTTCTTCTTAAGTATACAGTTTATCAACTTTTCCCAGCCTGACTGGTGAATCACCTGAGGGCCATTTGCCCAACCCTGGACCCTCCAATGGAGAACCCCGACCCTGTTCAGGGTCAACAACCACAATTGGTTTTTTGAGGGATCATGTCGTGAGGCTTAGGGGAAGTTCATTTCCACGGCACCTTGTGGGTGTGTTTGTTTTTGAAGGTTCCCGCCTTTTTGGTGGGTAAAACAGGGAAACCACAAGGAAGACATCTACTTTGGCGGATCCGCTGAAACCCTGGTAGGCGATTTGGAAGCCCTTGAGACACGCCCTGCTCGCACCGACTAAGGGCATGTTCCAAGGCGCGAGTGGCTTGGGAAGCGCACCGGGGCAGCGGGGAATTAGAAGTCATATGGGTCTGTGTGTTTTCGGGAGCCTTTTTGGGAGGTATTAAAGGGCAACCAAAGGGGCCCCTGATTTTGAGACACAGCGATATAGAATGTATTTGGGCAGGTTGTAGCGATACTTTCTGGGCCAGGGGGTGCGGTCCGATTTGATGTACTGATGCTTAATGGAAACTGTCGCCGAATCAATGTATAGCTAGGGGAGGTCCACATCCACCTAAAGGGGCGGCCCTTTTCAAGCACTCGCCCCACGGTTTCGCTGAGTGTAAACGGAAAGTACCATACGAGATAGGGGTCCGCATGATTTCTGGTTCGGGCTGGGAATACACCAACCTGTTTCCCTTAGGTGCAGTGGCCGGGGGGCTGTGGAGGCCTATGTCAATCGCATGTGCCAGGGCTTCCTGAGAAGCAGTCAACAAAGGACAGCCAAAGCAATGAGCAAAAACCCTAAACCATAAACCCAAAACCCTAAACCTCTTTTGGGAACGTATATTCGCATCGGGTCCTTTGGTTTTTCTGCCGGGGCCATTTCCTGCCCTCGGGTCGAATAAAGACAACCGGAGCGGCGGATCTGCGAGGCATTCCATCGGAGACCAAGCCTAAGGAGGACGGGCCTTGTTTGTAAACGTAGCGATCGGAACTTCTTTTTGACGTGGCTTTGAAGGGAAACCGAAGGGACAACTTTCCATTCAGCACCCCCTTTTGTGGGCGTGCGGAATGTTGTAGCGGTTGTTCTTCTTTCTTAAGTGGCTTCGACGGGAAACCGGCGGGACACTTTGGGTGGCACCCCATTTTGTGGGCCTGCCGAATGTTTCTTTGAATGGTGGTTTTGAGTTGGCAGCGGAGGGAAAATCACCTGCTTGGGGGAGGGGGAGGGGGGTCTGGAAAAGTTTTGACACACCTATTTGACCGGTGAGAGGGTCAAAGACTTTCCCTGGGGGCATCTGCATAATTTGTGGCGAGCTCCGCAATGCCCAAGGTTTAAATGAGTGATCCATGAGGCTACTTGTTCAGAGGCCCCTTGGTGTAAATCCAACAAATGCAGATGACTGTGCGTTGTGTTATGTTTTTGCTTGCTTGTTTGCTTGCTTGTTACAGCTGGTTTGCTTGATTTTTGTTTGTTTGGTTAGTTGGTTGGTTGTGCGTTTGTTCATGTTTGTTCATGTTTGTTTTGCTTGCTTGCTTGCTTGCTTGCTTGCTTGCTTGCTTGCTTGCTTGCTGGCTTGCTGGCTTGCTGGCTTGCTGGCTTGCTGGCTTGCTGGCTTGCTTGCTTGTTTGTTTGTTTGTTTGTTTGTTTGTTTGTTTGTTTGTTGTTGTTCATTGTTTATATGTTTCTTTCTTTCTTTATTTACTTCTTTCTTTCTTTATTTATTTGTTTCTTTCATGTTTTTTTCTTTATGTATTTCTGTATTTATTTATTTATTTATTTATTTATTTATTGTGTGTTTATCTCATTATTTATGTATTTATGTATTTATGTATTTATTTATTTATTTATTTCTTTATTTCTTTGCTTCTTTCTTCCTTCCTTCCTTCCTTCCTTCCTTCCTTCCTTCCTTCCTTCCTTCCTTCCTTCCTTCCTTCCTTTTGTTTTTGTTTGTATGTTTATTTCGTTATTTCTCTCTTTCGGTCTTTCTTTCTTTCTTTCTTTCTTTCTTTCTTTCTTTCTTTCTTTCTTTCTTTCTTTCTTTCTTTCTTTGTTTCTTTTTTTCTTTCGTTCTTTCTGTCTTTCTTTTTTGTTTTCTTTCTTGCTTGGGCCACCTGTTTTGGGTTGTTTCAATGGGGCGCCAAGCCACTTGCCGTTTGCAGACAAGCCTACCACTACTTTGTAGAGATGCATAGTTTGCGAATAATGTTGGTTTTGGGCTTAGGTTTTGTCAGCCCACTTGTGTGGAGCTGTTGACCTGCTTTGATTCTCAGAAACTTTCCAGGTCCTGTGGGGAGTCTTCTCAGACCTCAATAATGTCTCCAAATGAAGATAAAATCCCAGGAACAAGTGAAACTTGGACAAGCTTGAGGTCCTGGTTCCCATTCAGAGCAACACTGCGGATGGCTTGGAGTGGAAGGGCCTAAGTAATTAATTGGAATGGGGTTGTGGGGTACTTTCAATCCAAATTCAGACATGATAGGAGCCCACCCCCTGCTTAGTTCTTTGATTTGGTGTTTCGGACGTACGGGGTACCTTCCCGATTTGTTTTCAAAGGAAACTGGGGTGCAAATCCCGACCAATCCAAAGTACCAATGAAGGGTGACCAGCTAGGTCTAAAGCTCCAGAGACCCAACCTTGGCTCCAGTGACCAGCTAGGGCTACTGGGGGGTTCCCATGCACATACCTGTCTCCGATCCCAAAACTCCATTCGAATTCTCGGACAGATATTTGTACCTGGGGTGTCCGTTTCCAGAACTCAATGATATCTACAGACCCCGCGGCGTCTGATTCGTGATGTCCAAACTTCTCTCAGGACGCCAAGGCGCCGCCCAGCGAGCCCAAGGTTGGCCCCAGATTCGGTGAATGCCTCGGTCGGAGTGGGGGAGGGCCGGGTTTTGTGTTGAAGTGGTTCTTGCTGATGTGGTCGTGGTATATCTTGGTAGGGCGTGGGAGAGCCCGTTCAATCTTTCCGAGCCATTGCCGGGCCTTCGAACTCGGAAAGCCCCGACTAGCCTGTGTCAGGGATTCCTGGAAAGACTACACTACACCTTCTCGGAAATGTGTAGAAATGCCTTCTGAAAACGCAGGCTGAGGTCTCCGCCACGTTTGTATTTTTTTTAGGATTACGGGGTTGGCCAAATGTGATGCAGAAACTGAATATGCTTTCGGTGTGTCCCAGATTTGGGCCAAGTATTCCACTTTCAGGCTCAACTTGTCCCAAAGAGCTGGCATCAATCAAGCCCGGGATGAGTCGAAGGTGACTTCTCTTTCGTTGCAGAACCGAATCGCTTGACAAAGCTTGAAAACGTGAGTGTGGTTGAGTTACCATGCCTGGCCAACATGGTTGCTCTTCGCTTTGACAGAGCTTGACGTTTTGACCCGTTGATTTTTCGCTTTTCGCCAGCTAGCAAGCAACGCCAGCTTTCAAGGATTCTAGATCCCAGGCCCATGACTGTCAGTTTTCCCACAAGAAAACCAAAAGAGGATGAGTTTTGTCCGCTCCTTTGAGCAGAAGCAAACCCTGGATCTGAGCCTTGCCCTCCATTCGGCTGCCAACTCGTGAGGTTCTAGCCCCAGGAGTGACCCGCAGGAGCGAGGGATCGTAATACGGGATCAAGCCGGGGGAGGGGCCTTCGGTGAACTTGGATATGCTAGATTCTCAAAATATTGGGGGTAAACCAGCCAAAGCACAGTACACATGCAAAAGCATGTGCATATATGTTTATGGTAGAGTATACGAGTTTCCAACTTGGTTCCGACTTGCCTCACATTTCCAGAATCCGGTTTGGCGCGTGTCTCAGAGTCGGAGGGGTCAGACCAACGTCGAAGAGGTGATTGTTGCATTTGTTTCGTGCTTTATGCAAGAACCTCTTTTATTTTTCCATTTTTCCGCAAGTCTCTTAGAGATTTGAGGAATCCCAACCAAAGGTGGGCACAAACGTGAAACTAATTACAAACCCTTTCAGGGACCCGCAAGTTATTGGTTCCCGCCTGATCCGAGGCTTCGCAGGTGATGCAGCGGCTGGTTTCTTGCCTTCCCTTTGAAAACGGAGATGGACTTTGAATTCGCTGGACTTCGACTGTGAAAACAGGGTTGGGGGAGGGTCCTGGAATAGAGCAACTTTGGTTCGACGAAGCAAGCCTTTGGGCACTTGGGACTGGCATTGTCTTTCGCTTGACTATTGCCTAACCCATTGAACGGGTCCTCATAAACGGGTTCCGATCGTATGCGCGCAGGGTAGTGTGCGCAGCATCCGATTGCGAAACCGATGTGTTGCCCATGCAACAATTCAACAGGTGTTGTCCCTCAAATGGTTGTTGTTCTTGGATTTCCCTCTAAACCAAACCCAAAATCACCGCCCGTGTACGAGTTTTATTTTGTGTATTGATTTATTTTTTGGGGGTCCCCGAAAAAGAAACACCCATAGGTAGTCCTTGCATGGTGGTTTAGATTGGTGGGTTTCCCTGCAACTCTGGTTACCAACCGTTTAGCTGTCCCAGGTGTAGCTGTGGCTATACAAGTCGGGCATCCACCGGCACCTTCCGTCAGTCTCAGTTTTCAATGGTTTCCATGCCCAAAAACAATGGTTTCATTTTGGCTTCCGTTTGAACTGGCCTGAAAAGTGTAGCCTCCAAATCCACACATCCCAACTGGTGCCGGGGATTTCGTTCGTTTCGTCCAGGTATCCGGTGCTTGTGTCAAACTGTCGGGACCTTTTGATGGGTGGTGTTTTGATGGTTTCCCTGTAAAAACCCACCCCAAAACTGCACCAACCTCAGAGAGAGAGAGAGAGAGAGAGACATAGAGAGAGAGACAGAGAGAGACAGAGAGAGAGAGAGAGAGAGAGAGAGAGCGAGAGAGAGAGAGAGAGAGAGAGACAGAGAGAGACACCCGTTCGCGCGAGGACTTGAAGCTGAAGCAGGCTGGCGCGGAGAAGATTTTGGAGGAGTTCCGCAAGAGCAAAGGCAGCAAGGTGCTGGAAGAGCCTGGGCCCCAGCGAAGGGTCGTCTCGAATCGAAGGCGAGTGAAGGTCCAGACTCCCAGGTGCTGCCCGGGTCCCTTTTCCTTGGGTTTTTCCTGGAAATCGGCTGCCAAACGAAGGGTGCCATGTTCTTTCCCATGGCCGCTGGAGCTTTGAGAAGGCGAGAAATTTGTGTTGACCCGAGCTGGTGTTCTGGTTTGCCGCCCGAGGGGTCCCGTTTGAAGGCCGCCCAGGGGAACATGTTGCAGTCCGATTTCCCCATCGAGTTTCTCTTGGAGTAGCGTTTTAAGTGTTTGCAGTCACCAGGAAAGAGATATATGGGTGTGTCTTTGTTTTAGGTGACCCCCAATGGCTTCGCTTTCCCTTTCCATTTCCCTTTAAAACCACCAAGAAAAAAGGTACCCTCAAAAGAAGACAGACCCATCATATTAACCCGCTTGTGAGACAGTCTGAATTTCACCTTCAGAAAGGGAGCCCAAAAGGAAGGCTTGTTTCCAGGCTCCGGGAAGGCCCTTTCCCATTTTGTGTGGGGAAGTTTCCGCTTTTGAAGTCAAAGGGCGCCTTTCATGGACACAAGCAAGGAAAGGAGCTTCGGAGTGGGGACTGAAAAGCATAGGGCTGAGGTTCCCAATCCTCTGTCGGAAACCAAGACCAACCAATTTGGAGTATGCCCCCGTGGTCCAACTCTATTTAAATCCCAGCTAAAGCAAGCCAGAGGGCAATCCCAAGGTCTTTGTGGTTGGCTTAGGGTTTGGGGACGGATGGCCATGTTTTGCCCCGACCCATGCCAAATACTATTTAAACCAAAACCGCTCTTTTTTTCCTGGCCAAACCTGGGGGGGGATGGTGACATTTAGTGCCACCTTGAAGGAGCTCGGGGCCCACAAAAGGCTTACTCTTCATGGCAATCCAGCGCGCATCCGCCAACAAGACCCCAAACGGATCCTCCTAGACCGAACATAGGCCCTGTTCAGCGCTTGTTGAGGCTTCCCTTTTTGGTTGTCTTGACTTCGTCTTTGGAGGTTCCCTTGTTGCAGCAGTTGGGGGGTTGATCAAAAGGTCCGAGATACATGGGTTGACCATTGGTTGGGAAACCACCAAAAAGATGAATGCCATTTCCCACTCAAAAAAATACCCATGGTAGGGGCCCTAAATGGAGTTTGATCAAGACCCATTGTTTCTTCGTGGTTCTTCGGGAAACGGAAGACCCATCCATCGGCCATTGGGCTTCGAGGCTCCTGCCCGGCTTCGAAGCACTGGAGAAGGAGCTGAAGGAGATTGAAGGCGATGGACAGGTGTCCGTTTTTGAAGCGACAGGTGCCCTGAAATTGGGGTTGACCACCATTTTCTAGTTTAAGGCACACCCATATTTGTTTCATATATCATATATTCCTGTACGGGTTGGTTGAAACATGCACCCTTTGGGCCAGTTTACATTCGAGTTTCCTGGTGGGATGATCCCTGGCCAACACAGATATTCACAAACCCCTGAAATTCATTCAGAAATCAGGTTTCCATTCAAGCCCCCCGAACTGCGTTTTGGACAGCACTTAGGGTTTTGGCTACGCTGGAAAAAAGCAGTTGTCAGGAGGGGGGAGTGCTGGGAGGCGATACAAGGAGACTCCGGGTCGATATTGCCCTGTTTTTCGGGGGGTATTCAGTGGAGCCTTGAACATGTCATCAGAAGACCCTTTTTCCGCCTGAACAAGTTGTTTTGTTTGGTGGGCAATCAAGGGGTCATCTGTGGAGACCCTGTTGCGCCTTTGGTTTTTCCTCAACGCTTGCCTTTGGAGTGCATTTGTCGGGGAGAAGAAAGGCTTTCCCAAAACATCCCTAAACGATGCACGCTCTCCCACTGAAATGGCTGGAGGGGCAGCGACCCTTCCAGACTTCAATGAATCAGTGAGCTCCAGTGCTATGGATTTGAGTTACTTGCCCAAATTAATCTCGCAGCCCGCGCTGCCACCAGGCTAACCTGTGATTCTCGTTTGCTTGAGCAAGCCTCCCGACACACGGCCCCATGTCTGATATCCCCAACGTTATGTGGCACTTTGCCAGGCTTGCGGTTTCTTTGTTTGCCTTTGCTGGACGACAGCTGAAAGGTTGAGATGTGTCGCATGACATGGCTTCATGTAGCCCTAAAATATTGGCAAAGCTTGTACCGTGCTTTGCGATTTCAACTTAGCACTCCTGCATGGGGTTGGCAGAATTAGGGGCCCTGTATATGGGATTCCCTCTACAAGGCGGCACCTACCGGCGGCACTATGGCTTTAAAAAAGCGCCATATTTGGACCCCCCCCAATGTGGCTGTAGCCGGGACCCCAGCAAAGAGTTTTTAACTTTAAATTTGAGCTGCATGTGGCTGGAGCCGAGACCCTTCATAAGTCCCTTTCTTAGGAACCTTGATAAGCACCTTACAAGCAAAACTTGCTGGTGAGACAGCCAGGGAATGAGACATGGAATCACCCCCTAGAAACCATCCCCTATGGTTTCCTTTCAGGGGACCAAGGGGGTTTCCTAGAAACCGCCCCCTATGGTGTTCTTAGGGAGGGTTCATTCCCTCCTTCCCTATCGCAGCACCAGTCCACGGGTGAACCAGCCGCTGCCTTTCGGATGAGGCCAGGACGTGACGGTGCCCTCGAAGCCTGCGAACTGGGATGCGCCCAAGAAATGCCAGGCGAGTCCATCCGTGGGAGCTGGCAGAGGTGGTTCCTTTGTTTTCTGGTTTCTGTCTTTTTGTTGTTCCTCTGTTTTGTGGTTTCATTTTTGAAAGATAAAACAATGTGTACACGAGTCAACTATAGAAATGGGTGGAGCTGTCTGAGTTGACACTCCTCACACTGAAGGGTTGTTTTGGTTTTGGGTTTGTTGGATTCCTTGGCCTCTTTCGGCTCCTTGGGTGCGGTTTGGGTGAACGATGGCAAGTTTCGATCCGTGGTTTCAACACACCCTTCGCTTGCCAAGGGAACGGTATAATGGTGCCATCTTCTTGGTGTATTTGGTCGGACCTTTTGCCGCTGGCTCTTGCGGAAAGTTGAGCGAGTATGTCCTCTTTCCAACCACACCTCAAGCCAAACATGGGGCTGGGGGAAGGCAAATAGCCAGCAGGAACATCAGCAAATGGGCCAAATGGCCACCAGGATTTGGGCGCCTTCCTGGAGGCGACAAAAAATAACAAATCGGCTTGGGACCCCCACGCCACCTCCAGAAAGGTTTGCAACAGCCTGATTCTCAGAATACCTTACAAGCAGGTCTTCGACAGAATCGATCCAAGACGAGCTTGCATGTTTGAGTTTAGCAAAGTCATAGGGTATTGTTTCTTTTCCGCCTACCACTTGGAGCCTTAGATTTTGTGAAATGGGGCCAGCAAAGGGAGCCCCAGTGCAGACGCCGAAGGGTCGCCTCTCATTTTTTATGTTCTCCCACAGCGCGGGCGCGAGGTAAAGCGTTGAGAACGCATTCCGAGTGAAGTTCGTACTGTCTGCATCCCCACCCCTTAACTGGGGCCTTCTCAGTTGTTTGTATGTGTGTACTTTTAGTAATTCGAGATTGTTTTTTGTTCAGGTTACCCTCTTCAAACCAAAAGGGGAAGGTAGCCCCCAACATGCAAATAAAGAACACATCATGCTTGATGTATATATCCAGGGAGTGGGGCAAATTGCATACAGTATGGAAAGGTCTGATTAGGAGCAGAATCCGTGTGTCAAAAACCTGGCCGCTTTTCCGTGATGGCTGTAAATAAATGAAGGCAAGGAATATCAAAGAATCATATGTAGGCGAAACAACAATATTTGAACACACTCCTTCATAGGTTTGCTTGGGGGGACCAGTTCCTGACATAGACCTTGTCAAGGGGGGATTCTTCAGGGGGTGTCCCTAGGGGTTGGGTTGGGTTACCATGTCTATATGAGTCGGCCCTTGACACTTTAATTTGACCATAATGTCCCCGTGAGCGCTCAAAAATAAGAAACCCCTCCGAATGGTGCAGTCACACTGTGGTTCTTCAATGCGAGACAGGGGCTATTGTGTAAGAGATTCCCAAGCCTTGGCTGAGCAACATTTACCCACAACTGCTTGACATATTGTGCATGTCCATAAAAGCAGCGTCCAAACCCCCCTGTTAGTAAGTGGTTTTGCTGCCTGGATTCGTACGGGAGCGTATCATTGCCTTCCAGGGAACCTGCCTCAAAACCGGATCCCAGAGCCGCCGCTGTTCAGGGCGACCAATTCCCGCTTTAAACGTCGCCTTTTTGGCGCATAGGTAAGTGTCCGGGCGGGGTTAAACAGAAAGGATAATTGCAGGGAGCGTTGACGCCCAGAGCTGTCGCTGTTGCATTGGGAATCCTTGCACGTCTGCACGTAACATACCTCTCTGTAGCTAACCTTTTTACCCGATGGGGTCTCTGCCCACAGCCTCCGGCGTGGCCTTTGGCAAGGGGTTGCCCCGGACCTCCGGCGCCCTTTGTCCTTTTGAGGGGTGTCCCTTGAAACTCAACCAACAAAAAAACGAAGATCCCCCTGTTTTCCCCATGGCCAGGGGTAGTTGAGGATACTTGGCTTTTGCCCGGAGGCTCTGGAGGAAGAGCACGCGGAGTTGTCCAAAGCCCTGCACCTTGCCTGGTGAATTGAGAACCCAAAACCCATTCCCACAAGCACCATTTGGTAGCTTCTGGTTCCTTCCTGGTTTAATTGTGGTAAAGCCCATTGAAGCCATAGGATGTTAGAACCAAAAGTCGGGGTTGGGCCAAATCTCACTGTGAAAGAGAGACCCAAAGGAGGTTGTTTCAGCAATGGGGTTGACACATGTTTCACCAAGGGTTGGCCCAAGCCTGGAAAGCTAGGAATCCAGGAAGGCTGAGGCCAAAAGTAATGTGAACTACGCCCGGATAGATATTCGAACAAAACATCGATATGCACATGTCAAATTGGATCTGAAAGGTGGGGAAGCAAGCCAAAGGACACCGACCCTGCAAAGGTATTTGGGGGGAGAACGTACAGCCGAAAGACAAGGAAGGCCACCTGAAAATGTCGAGCTGAAACTCACGAGTTGGCCTCTGGATGGCGGTCCAGAAGTGTCCAACAATTGCGTGTTTTTGTTTGTGATCCTCTGCTTGTTGTTTGGTCGTTTCTGGGGCCAACCAGGCAGGTGATTTCCTGTTGGTGTCCCTTTATAGCCCGATTTTGATGGTCTGACATGGATGCTATCAGCACCCCATTTCCGCGGCTTGGTGTTTCTGGTGTCCTCATTAAAACAAAAAACAAAAAAAACACCCGGCCCTTGCCCCTTGCCCCACCTTCCCCTTTCCTCCAAAGGCTTGGGACCTAGGAAGGTCGAACCATGCGTTGATCCGTCGCACCCTTTTCACGCCCAACTCAAACTCCTGTCAATCCGCAAGTCTTTTGCCATAAGTCAGGTCACTTTGCGGAGGCCGGATGTATCCGGATGTGGTTGCAAGGTTTCCTGGGGTTTCTTCATGTGCCGTGCCCGAGGAAGAAGATGAACGAGCTGGACCGGCCCAAGATGTTCGCCGAGCTGATCGACCTCCAGCGACTCGCCATCCCCAAAGCTCAAGGGGCCCCCAGCTACCTATCCCTTGATAGCCGAAGTCATCGCCCAGCGCAACAGGGGTTGCCCCAAAAGGAGATGTCTCTGAAAATGCCGCATATGTGAGTCTTGGGCTCCTTCAGTAATGTTCAGAGCCGGCCTTAAAAAGTAGCTCTCCTGCACGGACAGCAGGAAGCAGATGAACAAGCTTCTCGTGCATCTGCAACCAGTTTCTGCACTTAGCATCAAAGTTGCCTGTACTATCCTCACACGTTTTGTCGGCTTTAACGGAGAGCCGAGATGATCGATGCCCCTTGGCCATTTGCGGTCATTGTGCATCCAAGCGGGAAATGGGGTTGACCCGGAGAGTTTCAGGACAGTTCAAGGCCTCAACCATCAGCCATGGAGTTGCGGGGTACTGCTTGTTTAGGGGAGACCCTCAGATGGCGGAGTTCCATGTCCTATCCTTTTCATCCAAAAAGCTATGGCGTTCCTTTTCCTCTACAACCACAAAGAAAAGGTACCCTCAAGAATGACACACCCATTTAGGAACTACATGGGAAGGCCTTGAGTGATCAGTGAGAACCATATTACAACATTTGGGTAGCCAGAATAAGGTCTGGATCCCTAAAATGGGTGGCTGTTTTCCTTTTACTTCCATTACCAAGACGAAACCACATACCTTTCGCCTCCAAAAACACAAGCCCATTTCCTTGGTTGCTCTTTGCTACGGCCTTCAACTCTTTAGCCTTGTGAATAAAATGACAGCTTCCATACCTTGAACAGGCTGAATTTGTTGGAGGGGTCAAAGACAACCCCGTTAAAGAAGCATCCCCGCCCGCGTAAAACACTAATTGGGGCAAGCACTCGGAAAATTCCATTTGGGCCTGTCTTTTTGTGAGGCTACCAGTTTTGGCGTTCAATTTTGCCTTTGTGGCTGGACCCCCATCCCTTTCCCGGTAGAGGGGACCCAAAACCGATCTAAAATGCACGAGCGCTCACCGCGAGGGTGGAGACCCTGCAGCACCACACCCGCTTCATGACCGAGCGCCCGGCAGGGAACCCGAATCGCTCGATCCGCGGGTCTGGCGGCTTTTGATGCGTGCGGTTCAGACCAGACCGGATAAGGAGGTCGGGTTCCCAACCTATGTGTTGATAGTTATATATCATTTAGCAGAATATGTATATGAACTATGCATAGTTGGTTACATGAATTGTGACAGTGTATATATATATATATGTATACATTACTAGACATTGTCAACGGTTTGTGGCCCCACATGCGCTCTGACGCCCGGAAAATAGGTGGGTGGTGACTGGAAGGCGGCCACATTCTGTTCACAGCAAAGGGCTCAGGGTCAAAAACTGTGCCGCGGGATGGTAGAGGCGGTCATGGACCTCTGAACGGGGAATTAAGACAATCATTTCAAGGGTTCCCTTCGAAGCGCCAAAGTATCGGATTCTTACAATGGCACAACTAGGTACACCAACCTGCACTAAAATAGTCAATATGTTGGGTGTTCTCACCACCATTCCAAATAGTAAGATTGACAATGTTTGCCTCAAGGGAGCCAGTCATGATCAATTCTTCTGTACCCCAAGGGACCTTACTAGGGTTTTCGCGTACGACACCCCAAACTTCTTTAGGGGTGTCAAAAGAAACCCAGTTCGGAGCCCCACATTCCACCTGGCGAGTCACTGTCTTTGCCGTGAACGGCGGAGCATTTCTGAGCATGGAACTGCACAGGACCCTCTTTAAGAGGATGGTCGTATTTGTTGCGCACTTCCATGTTGCCCTCCAGATTTCGCGAGCTCATCGATCCGTGACAAAGCCAGCTCACCATGGAGAAGGTTCCTTAGTTACTTGGGGCTCCAACTCTTATTTCAGGTTTAATGAGTTTCTTTGATTTAATTTGCTTTGCTAACCTGCGGAACCGAGAGATGCCAAGGAGGAACCGATGTTGCTTTGGTTTCCCAGAATGCGGCAGATAGAGTGGAGTGCTAATCTTTCATCAGTGCCGTGCATTTTGACAAAAGGACACCTAGGCATGTTGGTAAGTTTCCCGTTTCGGGGAACAATATCGCAGCCCCGAGGGCCCAGCGGACATGCCGGACGCGGAGAACGTGAAATCCATCCGCTCGCGCTGCAAGCAGGCGCTTGTTTTTGTGTGGAGCAGCCAGCAAACACGGTGCGTGTTGTGGGCAGGGTTCCGTTTGGGGGACGTTATAAATGGCAAGTCTTAGATGTAAACGGTGGTACTGAAGGGTCTACCACGAGAGGAAAACCGGCATTGCGAAAGGCCGGCTCTTTGGCTAAGGGGCTGCAGGGCAGGCCCTACAGATGGCAGGGGAATAGGGACACCCTCTAAGTTGGCGTGATTGACAGATTTGTGTGGTTGAGTATGGTTGGCTTGCTTGAAGTATTTAGGGTATCCCACCATACACACCATCATGAATGAGGCCGGGGGGGGTGATAGGTTTTATAGTCTGACGGGCAACAAGCCACTATAGACATCATGGGGAGGTTTCGGAGTTGGCTGGATTGGCATATAATCCTCTGTTGCTGAACCGAGGTGGCCAAGTCGGTTGAGGAGGGCCACAGTTGTTGTGGTCGTTCAATTGGGATTGTGGGATATCGGCTTTGCCAATCCTCCATTTTGAATGCGTCAAGTCGCCTCACTCAAGTCTAACAGGAACCCTAGGATGGAACATGGTTGCCAAGTTTACACTTGATTTGTATGTTCTGTCCAAGGTTGTGGCAAAATTTGGGCTTTGCGGCCAGTTTCTCTGATACCGGAACCCCCTTTGAGGTGAGAATTCAAGTAGTATGAAAAATCCCTGTTGGCATCACAGAAAGGGGAATGTCTCACAACCATCATGTCGGTCCAGGAGCCATGGGCTCCGGAAGCCAAGGTAGGTCACTTTGACCATCCCCAGATTAACATGGAACCCCAAAGCCCGTCAAATTTAGATGCACATGCTTTTTGACTCTCTTTTAATGTTCCATATTATTTAAATTGCAGGAGACTAAGCCCACTTACAGTAGTTGGAAGTATGTACCCTTGGGTGTGTGTGTGTGTGAAACGGAGACAATATTGAAACATGCTGGCGCCGATTTAAGGGTTCAATTTCCATTTTTGACACATGCCCACTTGGTGTAGCAATGTCCGATGCAAGTCGTCCCAGCAACCCCAGGTGTTCAAATTCCAACAAACGCCCAAGACAAACTGCAAAAAGGCGTGTTTGTTTTCTTCATTTTTTTGTTGTTCTTCTTATTTTTTCCGGGGGCGGGGGAGCACATTATATATATATATATGCCTATAATGCTTAGAATTCCACGTTCCCAGTAGGATGCCGAATGCCGCCCAGACAGGTGGAGGCGGAGCTGTCCCTTCTCGAGCAGGATATCTTGGAGAAGTTCAGAAACCAGGCAGGAGCTGAGGAGCCGTGGAGCCGATGTGCATGTTGTGGCATGAGTTTCAATAGGGGACCGCCTCAAGGAATGTGGTCTTCCAGCTACTTCCAGACAGGTTGCATGTTTGTTGTTGGGAGGGTAGCTTTCATCGAGTTTCCACTCGGTGTGGCGATGTGTAGGGGGACGCCTAAGCAGCTGTTCAGCAGCACCCTTTTCCCATACCTTCCAAACGCAGGGTTAGTGAACAACTGCGCGATTTGCAACCCCCCATTTTTACTTGGTAAGGAGATTCGTTGCTCGTTTAAAGATTACCAGCAACGTTCGATCTTCCGTGTGGTCAGGTGATGTTTGAGGGTCAAATCCACGGAGCCCTGTCACAAGTTCTGCCGCGCTAGGGGGCTCGGGCCTAAAGCCGTCGACGTCAGGTGGACTGGGAGGGCCTCGCGCAGATGCCCATCGCGCCGAAGCAGAAGGCGAGGGGCGGCGAAGATGTCATCAGCTCACCAACTCGCGCGCTAGGGAATCCAGACAGCAACTTTGCTGTGGGTCAAAACCCCGGTACCCCTGGTGAACATCAAGACAGGTGGTACATGGGTGCTCATCCGCCCCAAAATGGAGGCATAGGTTATGACCCATGGCCATATGAAGCTGATGGCTTGTCCAGAAGCTGATGGCTTCGCAACAAGATGAGATAGAAGATATTCCTTTACAGTACAGGGCAGCAGCTTCAGTTTCACCCTCTCACCCCCTCAACTGCCCTTTTCTGCCAGATCTGTTTTCCTCACAATGTGGCCACCCAAAGACAATCAGGGCTTGCCGAGCAAAGCAAAGCATTCTCCAAGCCAGACCAGGCTGAGCTTCAAGCTGGGGGCGGGGTGGGGGGGTTCTGGGTGTAGCCTCCCACCAACAAACATAGAAGTCCACAAACTTTTGGGGAAAAGAAGTCCGTGCACTTGCATGTTAGTTGGTGAGAGGGCAAGCGTTTCTTGGGTTACCGCAAGCTAGACTCAAACCCAGGGGTGATTTCCCAAGGAAGACCAAGTCTAGGTTTTGCCAATCTTGGTTTTGCCCTTGGCTACCCCTTTTGTGGTAACGCCAACTTACCTTTGCAACCCCTGCTTTGGGTTCCCTTTCAACTTGTCTTGAGGAAGGATCGCCCTCCAAAGCCGAACAACAGCACCCATGGAAACAGCCGTGAACATCCACGGGCTTCTGGGTCCCTTGGGGCTTTGCCAATTGAGATTTGTGAATGCGTCGATGTTCCTGGAAAGCAACCTTAAACAAGCACGCATGTGAATTCAAGGGGAGGCGTCTTTACAGCCGTAGTCTGCCCCAAGTTGGAATCCAACCGAATGGCGGAGCGAGCCTAAGGACAACGAGACCATACTACCCTTTTGAAGGGCCCCCAAAGATAGAAAGACACACTTGGACGCAGCACATCCCACACGTCCACCCTTCCGCAGGATGACCACGGCATCCAGTGGACCTACAGGTCGCCAAATTTCATTGATTGGACCGTAGAGTACTAGCAAGGTTGCTCCGAGCCGTTTCTTAATTTATCGAAGCCCGGGGGTACCAAATTGGCGAACACCTTCCTTCCACTTGCTAAGATTAGTTTGCATTGTTGTACTACTGGAAATATGTAGGTTTTTCACGGGACTTAAGAAATTGGAGGTGTTGATTCTCTTTCCCAGGGACCATGTTTCCTTCCATTGTGCCGATCGTGCTTTTCGCCGGAACCCTGATTACGGTCAGATTATATGAACCTTTCGATCGTCACGAACCTGGGAAGGAACACCCCCTGAGAAATACCTGAGAAGCCGTAGACCACGAAAGGTGTGTCACTTCGCACGCACTGCCTGCTCCCCCTCCAAGAACAAATAACCTGGAACACTTACCATGAATAGCAAGCAGTATGTCCAGCTTGCATCCAAACATGGACAGCATGAGGTCCCCAGTTTTAGCTTCTTTGCCCCCCACCCCCCCTCTCCGCCCAAACTGGTAGGTGTCCTCCTACCACCTTCAGGCTTCCCATTGAGAATCACCTCATTTTCAGCAATCGTCCAGTCTTTACCGGCAGCTTGAGGGGCCAGGTACAGTTGGGTTATGGTGGGTGAGAAAATCCTATGACCAAGCAAAGCAGAATAATCCTAGAATCTACTTTAACCCTGGTGTAGATGTCCCTCGTGATTCCGTGTATTTTTCCGTGTTTTCAGCCTTTGGTCAGTGGTTTGGACCCCAAGCCCCCCCCGATGTCCCTGGGTTGCCAGGCCTTGGACCTGGGTGTGGGGCTGGTGGACTCTGCCCTGGCGAAGCTGCCAGGCGTCGGATGGAGGGGCGGTGGGTGATCGATTCTCTGGTGGCGTTTTGGTGGTCAACACGGTCAACACGGTCAACACGACCAAGGCTCCTTTGAATTGATCTCCGAATCCAAACTTTTTCAGACCAGTCAGATGGGTTCTCCAAGTCACAACAAGTCACAACTTTTTTTCAGACCAGTCAGACACCAGATGGTGGGTCACCCAAAAACAGCTGGAGACTCGGAGCTGCCAGGCGATGCATTTTTGGCGGGGCCCTGAACCAAAACCCTCTTTGCTGACTACAGGAAACATGGTCGAAACTTATTGTCTTCCCAACTGGCGTGGGACTTGGTGTGTAACCCCATGTCCTTCTTGTAATGTTGCGAGTGTAACCCATGTCATCTCGCTTGAAGCAAATGATAGCAACTATTCACAGTTGCTCACATACCCACCGCAACACGTCTATCTACGTGGCCGACACACATTTCCCAACGTAAACGGTACAGCGGGGAACCTAAGAGCCTTGTGTTTGCAGAGTCTTCAGCGATAACCGTGACCGTGTGTTTCTGGGCTCATAAATCCAAAAGGGGACCTACAAAAGAGGGATCAGACAAAATCCCCTGGTGTCTATGTTGCAACCGCCCTTTAAGGCTAACGTCCCTTTGCTTAAGTTTGTTTTTTTTGTTTTAGGATAATCGGGCCTAAGTAGTTACCGGTTTACTCTGATCATTCTGACTGGTTTGGTTTTGAAGGGTCACAAGCCGTAGTCTTGTCAAGGTTCTAGGAGTTGATTCGCCATTCTTTTCAACCATCATTCTTTTTAAAGACCGGCTGTTTCCCCTGGGTTTTTGATGGTTTCCTGAAAGGAAGGATCCCTGGAAAGAACGGGGAAGGTACCCCTAGAAAGGCCCGTATCGTAGGGCGGTTTTTTGCGGCACGGCAGGCTACACCGGCCAGCACCTTCACTTCATGCCGACCCGAGACCTCGCGTGAGTGCCCAGAGAGACGCAGCCCTCAGTCGGTGTGGGGTCGTCTCTAGCGTCATGTTGCACTTTACCCAGCGGCTCCATGTGTATGTACTACTGTATGGTGGGTAACCAAGGGAACCGCTTAAAAAAAAAAGAAGGAAACTGGCGGCGGGTTGCCTACTTTACCGGCGAAACGTTTCAGATGTAGGTTACGGTCGACCAAATATGAAGATTCTGAAGAATGTGGTGCACCCCACAGTTGAGCCATATGAAACCCACCAGGTCCCTTGAGGAGCCATTTAGGTTCCATGTCAGAGAGGCGATTTGTTGCTGTCACGCTATCAGTCCGCTTTTTCTTGCAACCAAACAAGGTGTTTGGGGCCCAGCTTGTGCCGCCAAGACAGACCACCAGGTTTTTACCCCACCCCCATTTAGGAGTGTTATGTGGTGTTTCCATTTACCGAGGCAAACTTGCCACTTGGATGGGATTCCCTTGACAAAAGACCTTTTTGATTTTGCGTCTCTGAAGTGAAAAACATATTTTGGATATTCCGCCGATCGATCAAAAGGGTTCTGCTCAAAAATCGTAGACTGCCTGGCCCTTACGAACAAAGGCGGGTCTGCGTTTTGCATATCTCGGTGCCGGACTCCAATAACTTTGCCCTGGATTTGGGCAGCAAACGGACCCGAGGGGGGGGGCATTGGCCACTGCTTGGTGTGTGGTTTTCATGCCCCAGCGCTTGTTCGGGATCTACACACCTGGTCATCCAGTTATACAAAGGGCATACGGATCACAGCCCATGCTCAAGACTCAAGATCTAAATGTGTCTCAAAATGTGGGACCCCTGAAAACCGGCGTTTTGCCTTCGGGTTACCTTTACGGACCATCCCTAGACATGGGCACCCTCGAAAACAGACTCACCCATGTATTGTTGAAGAGGTACCCACCCCTTTTGCACCTGTTCCAATACCCAGTTGGCCTCTGCTCAAACACAAGTCACGGTTTTTCGGGTGGATTGATCCATTCGCCTTTGGGCCTCAGAATCCTGTGGGAGTGGCTGGCCAGTAAGGCACAATCCAATCCAATAGGTGGGGCAAAAAGCCCTATTGATTATTTGACATGGTTTCCGGTAGGCTCCTCTATTTCCTTAGCCAGAAGGGACTTGTGCCACGTGCATTTAGGGGTTTCTCAAACCCTTCCCCCCTTCTTCGTGTTTTTTTTGAGTGGGAGACTAAAACTGGCGCCATTCTTGACCAACTATCAAAGTCACCCTCCCAAGTGCTAGGTTGAGGGTACACCCCAGTTGCTGACTTTGATAACCAGTAGAAACCGTGAACCTAATGACCCCAGCCAAAGGAAGCCCGAAAGCTTTAGGGGCGCTATGATCAGAACCACCCACCGGTGTGCCTCATGCCTCGAGGCGCGGAAACCGGGCTGCGGCCGGTGGCTGCTGACGGCGGGGCGGCCGAAGAACCCGCTGAGACATCGCCAGGGGCCGACCAAGGCGCTGAAGGACGCCGTCCAGGCGATCCGCTCCAAAGCAACACGGGGGGGGAGGTGGCCGGCTGTGATTTGGGGTGGTGATTTGGTGAACAAGGCGGGTGACTCG